ATTGGTCAAAAAGAGTGCAATTTTAAACATAAACAGTGACGCTAATTATATAGAGTTACTGAAAAAGACAAACTTATGACAAGACAAAAAATGAAAAATTCAAGTGTTTTTTTTTTATTCATATAATCAAATAGATATTGTTTGAAAGTGCTGAAACAAGATCACAAAGGTATATCAAAAACATCCCTTATACAAGTCAGTCTAACCGCTGAAGAAACAAAACAGGAAGATTTTAAACGGTGGATAAAATGATAAACTTATAATCCTTTATAAACTATTAATGACAACAGCAGTAGTGTGAAACTGTCAATCATTAAACTTGAACACTGTGTCTTTCAGGTGAAACTGGATCTCAGACACTCTATTAATTTACTATATAGCCTACAATATATTAAATTATATAATCATGTCAAAGTGTTTCATAAGCTATGATGTGGAATTATGTCAGTTGTAAGAAAATGTTTCTGGAATTTCATGAATCATATGCCGTTCCAATAAAAAGCAACTATAATAAGCATTCTATAATCACTGAAAGGCTGTTTATGATTGTATTCTGCACGCATTTAAAACTTTTCTTCCTGTTTCTACAGACCCAAGACAAGACAAAAACACTTCATAGACTGCCATGGTTACAGTGCTTCTGTTTGCAAACACAAAGCATTGCTCTTAGGTGGCATTGTTTTATAATTCATTATGCCTCTTAACTGCCAGGCCTATATATCAAGTGCAAATGATGATCATTCATAATTTAATCAGGATAATTAAGTACTAACAATTCAAGCTGCTAAAAAAGGAGAGAGAAAAATGTTAATTCTATGCTTACCTTTGTGTATTATTAAATTCTAAATCTTGATGATGGTTTAATTGGCTTGCATAAAAGATTTCTAGTTCATACTAAAATTAATTATTTGAGCACGAATCTCACAAAAACAGTGTAGAAGCCTACTTTTAGGACTTTTTCCGAATGATTGCGAACCTCTTGTGTAATACCGCAAAATGATTTGTTTTTAATATTATCAAATAATAAATAATTTTTGCATTGTGTTGAAAAAAAAAAAACCACATCTGTTGATGAGAGGATGGGGAAGAAATCTTAATTTTAAACTTAATACAAAAAAATCTTAAATGTTCCACACACAGGCTTCATTTTATTTAAGCAAATCATAACTGATTGTTTTTTTGCTTTTGATTTGAGTAAATATGAGCCATACTGTACTATACAGGTTTTGTGAGATTGACCCTTTTTGCTGTTCAAACAAGTTTAAATGCAATATTTCTATAAATGCAACTTCATAATTACCGTTTTTAAGCAAATTATTGTATACACAGGGCCATGCATATGTAATGCAAATGAAAAGGCAGAAGCAGAGCACCAAAGCAAATAACCCAGAGTAAAACAAAGCAATGGACACAGTCTCTGTCAAGGCCTGGGTTAATCAGCATTGCCACGGCAAGCTATTTAAAGTTTCGTAGTATATAATGTAGTTATGTTCTTCTTTTCCGGATAGGTTTTACCACTGTTCCCAGCTAAAGTCATCTCCACCTCCGAATATCAGGAAGAAACCCAGAATGGTCAGAAAAAGGACACAATTGCCTGCCATTACCAGGCCACAGGCGCCCCACTGGATCTGCAGAGGAAGACAGCCATTAGTTCCATTCATTCAGTGTACTGTCTGGTTTGCCATTTTAGAAAGCATATTCTGTCTGTATAAGCTTTTAAGTCATTTTGAGGACACTGTGAGCACTAAATGCAATCTGACCAAAAATATAATGAAATTTAATCAATGCCATCAGAGTGAAGGTTCTTCCTCTTGTACAAAACAGAATTCTGTTATAACCCTCTAAGCTATTATTATATGAGCTGTATGGGTCATATTTGACCTGGAAATCTGATTAAAGAAGCAAGAAATAATAATTTAAAGAACGGAAGACAGACTATTTTCAAAAACCAGTAAGGTATCTGCATTTTAATCCACCCTAATTTTCATTAATGCAGAAATATCCACATTCTCATCAGTTATTATATCTGATTAAAAAAAAAATAAAACTGAAAGCACAACTAAAATGATCACTACTTGAAATAAACTGTTACCTGAAATAAAATACAGCATAACAAAACATTTTATAATAAAACTATATAGACATATATTAAAATATATATTACAAATACACATATATTATAAAAAAATTGAAAAAACAGCAACAACAAAAACACAGCAAAATGACAAACGAAATTCAAAATTAAAACAAAATATTCAAATAAAAAAAACTATTAATAAACTTGCTATATTAATAAATTAACTATAATAGCATCTCTAAATAGTATAAAAAATATGAAAAAGTATGAATTGGTTAAAAATGAAATAAAATGTAAAGTAAAATTAAATACAAAATATATAAATAAAATATATTTCGTTCTTTCTTTCTTTTTAGGTTAAACGTGACTTGGACATGTTTTTATTATACGCTAAAATTATACGTTTTATTGTATTGTATTATATGTTGTTAGCCAACAACGAATATTCTGTCATCATTACCCCCCATCCACTTGTTCTGTACCTGTATGAGTTTCTTTCTTCTGTTGAACCAAAAAGAAGATATTTTGAATAACACTGGTATCCATATAGTAAATGATGACAGAATTGTCATTTTTGGGTGAACTATTCCATTTTTAGTATAAAAAAGGTCAAGATAAAACCGAAGCAGGACATAAAGCATATTCTGAACTCACCACAGATTTTCGTGCAAGCACAACGGGTAGCCCATATGCTGACACCACAATTCCAGTGGTTAAGAAGTATGCAAGCTCCCTGCATGCATTGCTTGACTCAGTGTCGTCTGCATGCCTTCTGGCTATTAAATTTGGGATAGGTGACAGGATGTAGAAGACCAGGACAAACATCGGCCAGTACACTCTGTGAGGAAAGAAGCACATAGAGGTTATCTTCAATTACTGCACTTAAGATCTTTACAGATGACAAAAACAGAGACCTACCCAAAATGTTCCAGTGCACATCCCAAAAGGAGAAAAGTCAGTCCAAGTGCACCACTGAAGGATAACGCAACAAGAGCTGAAAAGCAATCATTCAGATTAGTCAAGGGCCAAGGATTTGAGCACGGAAACATTACGTGTGTTTGTATGGCCCCCTCGCGGCCATAGCTCGCAACTGCAGAAGTGACGTACTTGGTGACTAAACTGCGTATAAATAAATTCCGTGATTTTTCATGTTTAAGATCATTTCTCAATTTGATTATCATAGGTTAAATACGGAATATGACTGAAAAAAAAGACTGCCGCACAACAGTATAACTAAAGTAAGTAAATCTAAGTCAAACTTAAACCGTAGTTGACAACGTATTATTTTCCATCAATTCATGACACTTAATAGATTTTATTTGAACTAACCAATCTGCAGTTATATTATACTTAGACCTTTTACGTAGCAGTCTGTAGTTATGAAACTTCAACAAAGTATACAAGACTTAGGTTACTATCGCCAGCAGATGCACTCGTAAAAGCATCGGCGTGGTTTGTTAAAAGTGTTATAAAGTGTTATAAAGTGTTGCACTGATCAGAACAAGAGTTGCCGTTTAGCTTTACCTTTTATTCCTGCCATCATTCACAAACGCCTTTTGTTTTGTTTTTTCTCTTTGTGCTAAATGTTACTGGACTGACTTCCTATTTCCTCAAACTACTGATACACCCTTAAAGGAGCAGTCTTACAAAAACTTACAGAGAATCTACTGATCTTAAAAACTTTTAAAGTTTGTGAACTTTATAATATATTTATTTGATATATATATATATATACATGTGTGTGTGTGTGTGTGTATCTTGTATCTGTTTTTAACTTTTTTACCTCTTCTTCTTCTTGTTGTTTCTTGATAAAATATTGTATGTTACTGTTCTTTGAATATAAAAAATAATCCACTGATCTCCAGAAAAACAAACAAATAAATAATTGTTGTTGTTGTTATTATTATTAGCCTATATTATTAGCCTAGTAGTAGTAGTAGTAGTAATATTTACGTCGGTTCAGTCTCTATCTGTAACTGTAGTTATTAGTTAATGCATTAACTAACAATGAACATTTGTTACAGTATTTATTTATCTTTGTTAACGTACTGTTTTGATTTTGATTGTCTTACTGTTACATCATGTTAGCTCAGGTCCGTTAAATAACATTACCAGATAAAACTTTGGATTTGAATATTAGAAACGGTTGAAATTAACATTAACTAAGATTAAAAAATACTTTTGAAGTATTTTTTATTTTTAGTTTATCTCTCTCTGTCTGTCTAGCTAATAATAATGAATATTATATTAGCCTAGTTCATCTTAAAGTAGCTTAAACAATAAAATGCATACATATTTAATCGAATTTACTGTGCAAGTTTGTATTGGGGAAAAAAGAAATCAACAAAATGACAACATCCGAGACTAGAAAATGTCTACCCGTAAACACCGCTACCCGTAAACACAGAATTTTTCGCTGGAAAATGAGGCTTTCTCAGGAGGGCTGTTTCATGATCATGTTACAGTGACAGAAACTCTACTGAATTAAGGGTTACATAAAGGTGACGTCAACGTCAAACAGCCAATCAGATTCAGTGTGTGGGTCACGTAATTTATCCGAAACTCGTCATCATCAATTTCTTCGGAAGCGACTCTCGTCCAGATGATCTTTCGACGGTAAGGTAAAATTCGTTTCCATGATTTATATCTTTTATAAGTTCATTCGATGTCGCTGTAAGCATCCAGACACACTAATGACAGTCAGAAATAGGAGAGAAGTGTGTTAGTCGTGAATTGAGCTCTTCTGCGAACTTTCGGTTTCTATTAAACTGTCTGTAAAGAGTCCAGGTGTTCGTAAAGAACATGCTTTACTGTATTTCAAAGAGGGAAATGTTGTTCTATATCATATGTACGATGACAGAATCTTATTTTACTATACTTAGGAAATTGTTGGAATGGAATATTGCCGGGACCTCATTAATAAAGCGCTGAAAAACAAGAAGTAGTCATGGCCTCAGTGATGTTACAGGGGCTCGAGATCCATTTTTACCTGCCAGAGACACACCAGATCATTCATCTCTCAGGAAGTTTCACAGCAGAGGAGCTGTGTGTTGAAGCTGCCAAGAAGTTGGGTAGGTTTTTCAGCTATTCCACAAAATAAACACTGTAATCATCACAGACTCAATAATGTCTCGCTATTGCAGGTATATCTCCACTGTGTAGCAGTTTGTTCGCCCTTTATGATGAATTTAGCAAGATCTGGTATGCACCCAATCACTCATTCACTATTGATGAGACTACAAGACTGAAGCTTTACTATCGCATGAGGTATTCCCGGACTTTAAGTTTTTCTTCCCTGTTTTGTGTGATATTTGGGTTACACTTTACTTGAAGGGGTGTGCATAAGACTGACATGACACCTTCATAATTATTTGAAATGATGTTACATATTGACGTTATAATGCCATTCGTGGGGCAGATTCTATTTTACAAACTGGCATGGGACATCTCTCAAGACATCTCATCCAGTGTCCAGACACAGTCTCAAGCGAGGGACGGGGTCTACAGGAACAGCTGTTCTGGATGTAGTTTCACTAACGTACCTCTACGCACAGGTACGGTGACAAAAACATTGCCTGCTTTTAAAGGACGTACTGTTCAAGAAAGTTGTGGCTGCTCATTTGTATGTGTGTTTTGCAGAGTCAGTGTGACTTTCAGAGTGATCTGACACCGCTGCGTAGCACTCGTGATGAGAATGACGTCCAGCTGATAGAAAATGAGTGTTTGGGTATGGCGGTGATGGCCATCTCCCATGATGCCATTGAAAAAAATCTTCCTGTCTGTGAATTTGAGTAAGAGCAAGAGTACTTTATGGCACTTTTTTAGTCTTAGTTTATTCATCAAGTTTATTTTTCATGACTGAGACTGTAGCAACATTTTTTAAAGGGGTCATATGATGTTGCTAAAAAGAACATTATTTTGTGTATTTGGTGTAATGAAATGTGTTTATGCGGTTTAAGGTTCAAAAAACACATTATTTTCCACATACTGTACATTATTGTTTCTCCTCTATGCCCCGCCTTTCTGAAACGCGTCAATTTTTACAAAGCTCATTGTTCTGAAAAGCGAGGTGTGCTAAAGGTGATTTGGTCAATGTTTACATTTTTTGGCACCCTCAGATTCCAGATTTTCAAATAGTTGTATCTCAGCCAAATATTGTCCTATCCTATGTATTCAGCTTTCAGATAATGTATAAATCTCATTTTCAAAAAATTGACCCTTATGACTAATTTTGTGGTCCAGGGTCCAAAGCTGAATTTATGGCAAAGCTGAATTTTCAGCATCATTACTCCAGTCTTAAGTGTCACATGATCCTTCAGAAATCATTCTAATATGCTGATTTGCTGCTCAGGAAACAATTATTATTATTATTAGCAATGCTAAATACATTTGTGCTGCTCTGTGTTATGTTAGTATCATTGAGATCATTTTTACTAATATTTTGAAGTTTTTATTTTCATTTTTATATTATGAATGAATATTTTCATTTTAAAGTTGTAATAATTTTGTTAGTTTTTTAATGTCTATATAGTTTTTTCACACATTTTTTTATTTCAGTTTTAATTTTAGTTTAGTTCATCAGGTAAAACTAAATAAAAATGAGAAATGTTGTCATGGCAAATAGCTGGGGGGAAAATGAATGTAATTGTTGTAAATGTAAATGTAATTTTTATATTTGATTTTATTTCAGTTAACTTTTTTTATTTTAATGGTTTTAGTTTTAAACTTTTTATAACCCTGGTGCTGCTTAATATTAAAAATGTTCAATATTAAATTAAATTAATTAATATTCAAATTAAAACCTTTTTCAGGATCCTTTGATGGATAAAAAGTTTAAAAAAGAACAGCATTTATTTTAAATATAAATCTTTTGTTACATTGTAAATCGCTATCACTTGATCAATTGAATGCATCCTTGATGTATAAAATTATTCATCTTTAAAACAAATAAACTTGACCCCAAATTTCTGAACGGTAGTGTACGTGCTGAAGTTTCACTCTTCAGTTTAGAGTTCAATATTTCTATTTGTTTCTAACTCTACAGTTTTTTAATGTCACATATTTATTTTTTTTAAGGCCAGTTCAGATCCGTGGACCAATCAGGAGAGACGTAAATCAAAGAGAGGCAGTAAGAAACGGAGTAAAATAGCATCACATGATGCAGGAGAGGACAGATGGACACTCTTTTCAGACTTTAATGAGATAACGCATCTTCTCATCAAATACTCTGTGGTTACCATCCACAAACAGGACAACAAAAACATGGTGAGGCTTACCGTGAGATCTGTGATCAGTTTGGCTCATTTAGGGGAAATCAGAACTTTTCTTACGTTTGTGATCTTCTTCAGGAGCTGAAGCTGGCATCCCATGAGGAGGCGCTGTCCTTTGGCAGTCTGGTAGATGGGTACTTTAGGCTCACAGTAGATGCGCATCATTTCCTCTGCAGGGATGTGGCTCCCGTCTCACTGGAAAAGAACCTACGAGAGGGCTGCCATGGTCCAATCAAGTACTCATCATGCTTTTAAATTAATAGTTCCTCCAGAAATGATAATGAACTCGTATTGTTCCAAACCCTGTATGACTTTCTTTCTTCTGCGGAACACAAAAGGAGATGTTTTAATAAATATTCATGCTGGGCGCGGCTACATAAACTGCTAAGACTAGACAATAACTTCATTGAAGTCAGCTACTTAAAAAACGTAGCTTCATCTAATTTGATACCGAAAAGAGAGGCTGATTAGCCCCATAATAACTTCTAGTCATACTAGTTCATAAGACACAGTCTTGACACAATGGCAGTGTTTATGCAACTGGTCCCTGCTCTTTTCTATTCAACAATGGCCAGCAGTAAGCAGTGGTTATCAAGCACTGACTTCTGAATCAGAAAATACCTTAATAGAGTAACAGACCAAAATATTATTTACCGTATTGACCTGAATATAAGACGATGTTTTTTTCTTGGAAATACATCTGAAAAAACGCGGTCGTCTTATATTCAGGGTCTAGACTTTGACATGTCAATAATACACCTACAACAATAGGTGGCGCCAAATACGCATAAAACGAGTGTGCCATGAAATACGTAATGTAATGCGTGTTGTAAAGATCGCAAGTAAAAACAAAAGAAGTAGAAAACCTTACAGCTGCATGAGTCGTGACTGTCACGTTAGCCTGATGGGACCAAACTCCCTTTGTGATTTTAAAACGTAAGACTGTACCCAGATTTGAAGACTACAGTAAGATTTTACTTCTACTGTTAATAAGATTTTGGTAGGCTGGTATTAGATGGATAGCCTAAATGTCCTAATTCAGATGGGCTACCTGTTTTTTTGTTTTTTTAATGGTATATCAAAAAGTGTATATTTTTTAAATGTGATTGTTGGTACATTTTACCAGTTTTTACCATACTTTCAAAACAAAAATTAAAATAGGAAAAATATGCAATATGAAAATAATTGAAGACAAAATGTGTTTTACTGAGAAAAAACAAGATTTGTTTTTTAAAAAGCCTTTTTCCAAAAGGTACATCTGGAAAAAGGGGGGTCGTCTTATAATCAGGGTCGTCTTATATTCGGGCCAATACGGTAATCTTTCCCACCTCTGTAGCTTTCAAATGTCTTTTGTACTTCTGCATATTCAATTTCGAATGTTCTAAGGTTGCATTATATAGTGCCATTATATTGTTTGTTGTCCCACAGTACAGTATATTAGCTTATTTTATTCACTGTAACAGAATAAAATCAGACAAAGTGGAATTATCGACTCAAAATGTAATTATCTTCTTTTTTTCCATATTGATTACTTTTGCCATCATCTAGTGCTAACTTATCCCTAAAAATTGCAAATGTGAATGAGATTTGTAAGCTATGGCAGAAAGTCATACAGATTTGGAACGATGTTAGGGTAAATGACAACCTATTTTTGAGTATGCTATTTATATTATTTGTACACTACAGTTCAAAAGTGAAGGGTCAGTAAGATTTCAAAATTTTCTTTATAAAAATTAATAGTTTTAAGTGACAGTAAAGACATTTATAATGTTAATAACGATTTTGATTTCAAATAAATGCAGTTTTTTTAACTTTCTATTCATCAAATAATCCTGAAAATAATATGTATCACGGTTTCCACAAAAATATTAAGCAACACAACTGTTTTCAACATTGATAATAAACAGAAATGTTTCTTCAGCAGCAAATCAGCATATTAGAATGATTTTTGAAGGATCATGTGACACTGAAGACTGGAGTAATGATCACAGGAATAAATTACTTTTTTAAAAATATATTACAATAAAAAGCAATTATTTTAAATTGAAATAATATTTCACAGTATTACTGTTTTTACTGTATAAATGCAGCCTTGGTGAGCATAAAAGACTTCTTTCAAAAACTCCAAACTTTTCAGTGGTAGTGTAATAATAATTCAACTTGAATTCATCCCTTAATTCATATAACTTTCTGTAGTCCTATTTAATTTGTTCAGCATGTTTTTCAGCATCTAAAACTGTCTAATATACAATCATCAAATGACAGAGAAGAATGTCTTTGAACAGCTGATGTAATGGTATCTCTTTTGTACCCCTCAGTACTGAATATGCCATCCATAAACTCAAGCAGGAAGGTTATGAGGAGGGCATGTATCTGCTGCGCTGGAGCACTCACGACTTCGATCATGTTCTCCTGACTGTCATATGCAATGAGGTACTCGCTTTATTATTGTATATGCTGCTTTTGGAAAGAGACCTCAGTAAAAGTCAAGCAAACGCAGAATAAACGAACAGTGTAAATGTATGTAAATATGTTTGCATAAAATTAGGATATTGACGTTTTTCTATGTTTCACACTGAGTAAGTAACGCAAATCAAAACTGACCTTTTTATTCTAGAAGGATTGTTATGGCAGCATCACCAAAACCTTCAAGAACTTCCAGATTGAGGCGAGCGCACAGGGCTTCCTCCTGACTGGGACAAATATTGTGAAGCCCACTCTGAGAGAGCTGACGGACCACCTGTTTGGCCAGTGTCTCACAACAGACCACACCAGCTTAAGACTTGAGCGTGGCTGTCCACCCCAACCCAAAGGTACTGGAGCTTCACACCAACAGTGATATTTCAAATATAGATAATCTGTGTCTTCTTAAAAAAATAATTTAATTTTAGTTTCAAACTGAACTAGATTTTTATATTTATTCTAAAACGCATGCAGTGGCATGATTATGTACAGTATGTAGGGAACAACAGGGTAAAAATTAATCCTGTAGGAAACACTAGTATAATCAAATTAATTGGCATGCAAAGTTATGATAGTTAAGATGTTCTATTTGAAATCGGTTGTAAACCTAGAGAAAAATAAATATACAAAAATGTATTTGAAATACATTTTTTCCATGTTAAGTATATTACAAATATATTTTTTTTCATATTAAGTATACTACAAATACATTTACATATTTATGTGCTTAATAAATATACCCGGCAATTGTACTTTTAGTATACTAAACTGGTATACTGGAAGTCTGCTAAATTGGAACAACTAATTTTGTGCTTAATGCACTTTAATAGTGCGGAAGTAGTGCTGAAGTCCAACTAAAGATATACTGAATTATATTTAATTGTGCAGTAAAAAAGTGGAACTATTGCAAGTATACTTTAGGTACACTCTTAATATCTTGCATTAAAAGACCGCTATTATTCAAAGATCATACAATCCTCATCATTAAAACACATTTTAAGCTTAATATTAAGAAATGTGCATTGTGCACAAGTAGTACTCTAAATAAAGTTTAATTATAATTTTTATATCAGTACATCTCGAGTAAATATGTTAATACATTTGAACTATACTTAGTATGAAATAAGTGTATTTTAAATATATATTTTTTTTTTGTTAGGGATGTTAGATTATTATTGTACTGAAATCATCCTTATGTCTTAAAAGATGGAAGAAACATGAATAATCTTCCATTTACTGCTTCACAGAGCAATCCAACCTTGTCATGATGACCAGGAAAGATTCAGCATTGCCACACTCTTCCTTAAATAATGCAGTCATCCATAGGATCCTCAGAAATGACATTACCCAGGTTGGACATCTAAAAACTGTTTGCTTATATGCATGATGTGAATAAGTCAAACCTGTTTCATAGAAAACAAGCAAATTTCTCTATAGTGAGAAGTTATTTCCTGGTGCATCCTGACCAGCTGGTGTAAGCTGATCAAACAACCATTATGCTGCACTGCTAAAATCTAAGTAGTATTTTATGTCTTGTATCCCAAAAAATAACTATCAGCGACAGAACATTGACCAGGTTTAACCAGCTACGGTTTTCACATATTTTTTAAATTGTATTTTTTTATGGAAGCATGATTCTACCACAGAATGAAAAAATAATAAAGATGTAATAATGACTTTTTTATCTTGCAAATCTGAGTTTATATATCACAATGCTGACTTATGAGAAGAAAAAAAACCCAGAGAAAACTGCAAGAAAAAAAGGTCAGAATTGTGAGATAAAAACTCAGAATATAATCGCGGTCCTGCGGAAAAAAGTAATAATTCCAAAGAAAAGTTCGAATTGTGACATAAAGACTCACAATTTGGTGAAAATTATTCCTTGGTTAACTGCGTGATGTGAGCACAGAATTCAGAGAAAAAAAGTTGAAATTGTGAAAAATAAACTTATTTCGTTTATATTTGGCGTTCAAATTCACGTGATAGTAGGGCTGCACGATTATGACAAAAATCATAATTGTCGATTATTCCCTTGAAATTGTAATTGCAATTATTAATTACGATTATCACAATTTACGTTGAATGATGTTTATACCATTGTTTGATGCAACTGCATGCCGTATTTTTATATGAAAATAAACGAGCTGAAAACACTAACTGAAAAACCTTTAGTGCTTTTCTATAGTATTAAGCCTCAAATGCCAACTATACATCGGATAAGAATAACATAAGTGGACTTTGAACGATTAATTGCCGCTTTGAACGATTACGTAATTGTGGCATCCATAATTGTAATCGCGATTAGAAATTCGATTAATTGTGCAGCCCTACGTGATAGAACTAAATTCAGAATTTGCGTGCTGTGGTCTGTCTCTTGACAACGCACGAACCCCAAATGGAATTCTCTTTCACGACTTCTTGCACTTTAACAGACAAATACACCTGCCCATTTAGAACATTCAAGTGATTTTAAAGCATTCAAGCGCAAGAAGACGCAAATAACAACTCCATACAGTGTGTTCTGTGCACATAGCGCACACACATAGAGCTGCGTCTCGGGCAACGTCGCCTCTTATTTTCTTTCTGCTTGAATGGACAAATACAAACAAATGTTTGTCAAATACCCATCTTGGTGAGTATCCTTGAATACAGTCGGTTACGTCTTAAGTGAACTGAAAAAATCAGATGTGTATCATCATATTGGATCCATGCATTTTCTCTTAAAGTGACTGCGCCTATTTTACCAGCTGCTGCCGGTGTCCTTAATGTTAATCCAAAAAAAGAGAGAGAGAGAAAATCACTCACTCACTTTTGTAGCTTTAACAGTGACTATTTTTCACTGATAAACATATTTGTGCTTGAACACCTACAAACCTAAAAGTCTAAAGCATTGTTTAGTTTGTATCTTTGTATCTTTATGTGCTATAACTTGCTTATAAGTAAATCAGTTGTCTTTAATAGTGTTTGATCTTTATATTTGTTAGACTAGTAGTTTTTGCTGTGGTATCGGAATTGAGAATAGTAAAACTGAAATGTAAAACTTTTGGTGTCATATAAGCTTATTTTTATCTCACAATGAATGTAAAATGTATTATTTGATTAAGTGGTTTAAATGATGTTTATGCAAAAAAATACTAATTAAGAAAATGTCTTGAAGCTGGTTAGACCAGGTCCAAGATGGTCAAGCAGCTTAGAACAGTTATTGTGTTACAGTTTAAGTTGGATATTCCAGCAGGGTCATATATAAATAATAATAATTATAATAATAAAATTATCTAGAGCCTAGAAATGGAAAGCAATGTATTGAAACTGTTATTTATGAAACAGGAGAAACACCTGGGCCAAGGCACCTGCACAAACATATATTCTGGGAAGCTGAATTTGAGAAATGAGGATGATGACGGTTATTCAGGCCATGAGGTGGTGGATGTGGTTCTGAAGGTGCTGGCAGCAGGACACATTTCTGTAAGTGGCACCACATCTATTGATACATACAGTAGGTAGATAACTCTACTGGTAATTGCCTTCACAAATCCTGCTCTACTGCTCTTAGGCCTTCCTGGACACAGTCAGTGTAATGCAGCAGATTTCACATAAAAACATGGTTCTGATGTATGGCGTATGCATGCACAGCATGGACAGTAAGTGTGCCCACTCCACCAGACAGAAATGCAACAATACTTATTTGTATTTGTAAAGAAATTAAAGAAATAGTTGACCTTTGACTGCAGATGATCTCATGTCTCATTGCTGTTGTTCTGTCAGTCATTATGGTGGAGGAGTTTGTTCAGCACGGCCCTCTGGATCTGTTCATGAGAAATCATCGCTCTGAACTCAAGCCCTCCTGGAAGTTCCAAGTTGCGGAGCAACTTTCCAGTGTCCTCAGTTATTTGGTACAATATTTAAGTTTGAACTTGACCTTGTTTCACCCTTGTTTACATTTTGTGAAATATTTACAACTTATGGGTCAGTGATTTTATGACTTGAAATAAAATGTGTATTTAAGGTGTAAACATCTTAAATATTCATAAAACATAGATATTTAAGAACACATTTTAGTTCTGAATCAGTGTTATTTCAGTATTATTTAACCATAATAATAATGTAGTATTTATTAGTATTTTGAGTTATCTTTTATTTTTATATTTTCAGTTCTTTGTTGTTTTTTTAGTTTGTTTTAGTAATTTTTTTGTGTGATTTTTGTCATTAGTATTATATATTACATATATTTTTGTTTAGCTTATGTTTTTTAGTTTTAGCTTACCATGTACTGTAAGGTGTACAAATATTTAGCATCTTAAATGTTTTTTATTATAATTATTTTTTAATAACAAAGAAACAATAATGCAAGATTACGACAAACTGAATTTCAGCCTTTTAAAGACACTGGACAGTTACACAACCTAGAGATTTTTCTTAAAGGTCAGCAAAAAGTATCAAAATTAATTTAGAAATTTAAAACAATAATGCAAGATTACGACAAACTGAATTTCAGCCTTTTAAAGACACTGGACAGTTACACAACCTAGAGATATTTCTTAAAGGTCAGCAAAAAGTATCAAAATTAATTTAGAAATTTTAATTCAGAAGTCAGTTCATCATAGAACAAGTGTTTTCAAATCATTGTCTGTATGAACGGCATTTTAATTTCAATTGCTGAATAACCGATTCAGACAAAAGAGATGTTTACTGTAATTATTGATGTTATTCATATATCACAACAATAACATGCGGCAATTATCAAGTATCCATTTTCCAGGGGATAATTTGATATCCTGCTTTACTCATAAAGTACATATATAATTCAGAACTCTCTAATGGGATGTTTGAGGCAGAAAAATAGGACTCTGTCTTATTTTCTCTCTTTCAGGAGGATAAGAAGCTTGTCCATGGCTATGTCTGTGCTAAAAATGTCCTGTTGAAGCTGGATGGTCTGAAAGGACAAGGTGGTCCTTTCATTAAACTGAGTGATCCTGGACTGTCCATCGCTGTGCTCAGCCAAACAGGTAACACACGCTCATTCACACTCATCCAGAGAGCCTCTGTATAGCCTTGCACTATACAAGTGCACAGTGACTATTTAATAACATCTATTTAACATTTAATCGAATATATTAACAGATTAATAGTAAAATAATTGAACCCCCATAATGCATTGAAAATCTGTATACTATTTGTGCATTTTTAGAGCCAATCAACAACTTCTCATTAATGAGTGAATGTGAAAAAATGTCAGTTTTGAATGTTACCATATTATTACTGTGTTATTATTGCATTTTTATTAATTAAAAAATTTAGAAATTCTTTGAAATTTCAAATTACACATGAAAAAAAACTATGATTAATACTATAAACTGTAGTGAAATTAAAACTATTTCAATATTCATGATAAATCATTGTATGTCACAATCATAAGAACATCTGATAATTCTGATCTGATAATAACCAGTATTAACCCCATTAGAATGAATGTAATCTGAATACATTTCTTTGAATTTAACTCATGATTGCTCAAAAACATTTATGAAACTTGCATATTCTTTTCTAAGAAAACAGCATCAAAACAGCAAATACTACTCTGAAATGTTTCCAGACACAATAAATTCATTTTACTTGCATAAACTTTCACTTTCAGATGAAAAAATGTGATCAATTTTGCATGCTGCAATGGTTTGTCAATAGGCGTATATATTCATATTTTTCAACAAAGTTTAGTCCCAAAAGTGTGTGAGATATGGGGAACAAGCTAAATATATTTTACAAAAGCCTTTTGGCACTAATATAACTTCATAGATCATTTTACAAACGTATTTTTGACACCTAGGGGTACTCCATACATACCCGGGTCCAAAATGAGCCGAAAGTATAACATTTAATCTAAATGGTTATATCTCTTAAAAAATAATTGTAAAAAATGTGTATTTTGAGGGTCTTAAAAAGTTTTGTTTACCTACTAAAAACAAAATTTTTTTTTATGTATCTCTTCCAGGTCAAAACAGACCTGAATGCATTATAAGGGTTAAATAATAATCAGTATAATGTATATTGACTTTACTAAATGACAGTTTCTGAGAGTCCATTTTGCACTACTAACGCTCCTGATTGTGCCTGTGCTCAGAGTGTATTGACAGGATCCCATGGATCGCCCCAGAGTGTGTTAAAACCCCCAAAGCGCTGAGCATTGCAGCAGACAAATGGGGGTTTGGGACCACGCTATGGGAGATCTGCTACAATGGCGAGGTGCCTCTGCGTGAAAAGAAACTCTCAGAGGTGCTTTACCCTTCTACGATGACTCTTCATTTATACTTGTCCAAAGCAGCAGTTGTTTTATTGGAATTCTTGTCCTTTGTTTCTGACTATAACACTTTTAATCTAACATCTGTGTGTGCATAAACAGAAAGAGCGATTCTACGATGTGTGCGGCACTCTGGTCACTCCCAGCATCAGTGAACTGGCTGATCTGATCTCACAGTGCATGAACTATGACCCCAGGAAGAGACCGTTCTTCAGAGCCATAGTGAGAGAGCTGGGACGCATCAAAGAGCAGCACGTGAAGGGTATCTGTCACATAATATCACACGATCATCACAAACACTAATAGTCTTTACCTCTTCTTTATGCAATAGATTTAGCATCAGGGTGACGCGGAGGAGACGAATTGTTGTATAAAATCGTTATTTTTGTTTTCTTTGCGTACAAATAATATTCTCGTAGCTTCGTAAAATTACGGTTGAACCCCTGATGTCACATGGATTATTTTAACGATGTCCTTGCTACATTTCTGGGAAAAAAAATTAATAAATAAACTTTTTGTCATCAATTACGTCAAAAAATTTAAATATTTCACCCCCCAAAAATAATATATTTTGATTTTAAAAATATCATGACAGTTAAAGGGAAGGTTCACCCAAAAATGAAAATTCTGTCATTAATTACTCACCCTCATGTCGTTCTAAACGTAAGTCCTCCGTTCATCTTCAGAACACAAATTAAGATATTTTTTTATGAATTCTGAGAGCTCTCTGACCCTCCCATAGACAGCAATTACAACCTTCATTTACAAATCTCATTCTTATTAAAAATGGTATTATTTAAATTTTAAAACACAGTTTAGAGTAACCTTCATGGTTGTATTTATATACATTACTGAATTGATTGTATTTTTTTTTTATCTACAGCGCTTCACCTTATGGAGGCAATTCCTCCACAGGAGACTGATCCTACAGATTTCAAGAGAAGATTTCTCAAGAAAATCCGAAAACTTGGAGAGGTACTGGACTTTTCCAGGTTTATGATTGTCACGTGCTGTTACTCTTCCCAAGTCAAATAAAGGAACATGTACATGATTTCTACTGGATTGTATTGGAAAGTACTAGAAGTATTTGGAAATGTTTTGTTTGGAAAGAATTCATAGAACATAGATTTGTTTCGAAGACATTTTAGTTCCCAATCAGTGTTATTCTACTATTATTTATATAGTATTATAGTATTTATTCATATTTAAAATGAGCTTTTATTTTTATATTTTAAGCTTTTATTTTAGTATTTTTTGATGTCCGTTTGCCATTTGTATTTTTATAGAAAGATATTCTATTTATCTTTAATCTAATACATTTTTACAGTTTATATTAAATTTAATTTCACTTAGATATTAAGGCATCATTTCATTTGATCTAATATTAAATTTTTTTGTTTATTTCAGATTTATTTATATTAACGAAAATTATTTTAATTGATTTTTGTTTTAGTTTTATTTAACAATAACAACACTATTGTTCCCAAAAGGACTATTATGATTACCAGTAACCCCAGTACAACAAAACCAGTTTACAGAAATTGTATATTATAGATTTTATAGAGATTTCAATAGGAATACGGTACAAATTCCATTAGAATTTCGAACTAGTGATTCTAATTGGAAATCTGGACCAACTTGATTCATTCACAATGAGATCCCTGCATTTCCTCTCTTCCCTCCTAAATCCCATAATCCCCTTGGATTAATGTGTTCTTGATTCATTATCTGCTTGTATTATTCTTTATCAATCTTGTCCAGGGTAACTTTGGGATGGTGGAACTGTGTCTGTATGATCCTAAGGGAGATCAGACAGGTGAGCTGGTGGCTGTCAAATCTCTGAAAACGGAAAATGAGTGCAGCAACCTGAGGAGAGAGATCAGCACCATCAGAAACCTCTACCATGAAAACATCGTCAAATACAAAGGCATCTGCAACGACGAAGGCATGTCATGAGCACAGCTACAAACACAAAGGCCCTGTTTACACACAATATTTACATCGCTTTCTAATCTTGATGGCTTTTTAACTTGATAACTAAGACAAATGAATATATAGCCCATTTATATGTACTTACTGTATTATTGCTTGGGGTGAATGTGTGTCACTCAGGAGGAGCGAACATCAAACTCATTATGGAGTACTTGCCCTCTGGCAGTCTGAAAGAATACCTGCCCCGTAACAAATCCAACATCGATCAGAAGAGACTGCTGCATTATGCTCTTCAGATATGTCAGGTAATGTAGCCAATACAATAGATAACTATAGCTATAGATATAGATAGCTTCACCCATTTTCACTTATATTCAGTATTTTTATTTGTTACTACTTAAGTTTCCAAATGCATTTTTAGACTGCACAACAGAAGCCATCACTATCACTATAACTGCCATCTTTTGGTATAAATCGGTATAAATATTGTGTGTTTGACAGGGTATGGAGTACCTGGGATCTCAAAACTACATCCACAGGGATCTGGCAGCGAGAAACATCTTAGTGGAGAATGAATCACTTGTAAAGATCGGGGACTTTGGTCTGACTAAGAGCATCAAAGATGATAAGGAATATTACAAAGTGACCGAAGAACAGGACAGTCCTGTGTACTGGTAAAGCAGCACTCATTCCTGCTTACACTCCATATTTTAATCATTATGTAAATCACTGTTTAAGCTTTTTGCTTATAAATTTGTTGAATATTTCTATAAAGGACAAATGATTTATACATCTGGAAAAGCTATTACCTTCTCCCTTTGAAATCAAACACCTACCATGATGACAGTGCAACAGATTATGCTTTCTGAATATAGTACTTTATTAATTACATTTATAAAGTTGTGTGTGTGTGTGTGTGTGTGTGTATATATATATATATATATATGAAGAGTTCATTTGCAAAAACAGATAACTCCATTTTTATCAATTTTCAAAAAATAGTTTTTTCATTGTGCATTTCAATTAATCTCAATCAAACTGCAGTTGGGTTATTTTGATTAGGTTAAAAAAACTCAAAAATACTGCTAACTAACAATAAAAACGTGATAACAATAAAAAACATGATTTTTGAAAATTAAAAAAAAACGGAGTTATCTGTTATTGCAAATAAACTCTTCATATATGTATGTATATATGTGTGTGTGTGTGTGTGTGTATATATTTGTAGCTGACAAACAGATATGTGTAGTATTCTCTCTGTTTAATAATAGCTGAACTCTGTACATTTATATGTGTGTGTGTGTGTGTGTGTATATATATATATATATATATATATGAAGAGTTCATTTGAAAAAACATAACTCCATTTTTAACAATTTTCAAAAAATAGTTTTTTCATTGTGCATTCCAATTAATCTCAATCAAACTGCAGTTGGGTTATTTTGATTAGGTTAGAACATAACTAAAAATACAGCTAACTAACACAATAAAACACAATAAAAACATGATAACATAGTAAAAAACATGATTTTTGAAAAATAAAAAAACGGAGTTATCTGTTTTTGCAAATAAACTCTTCATTTGTTGGTTGGGATTAAATTATAAACAGTATATTTAAAGCTAACCTAATGAAGAGAATATTTGGACTTGTCTTAATGCTCTTGTGCAATAAAATTCTCTTTAAGTGCAGCTTAAGTGTTCAAACAATTCTCTGGGCCACTGCTTGTTGGTGTCTAAGCAGATAATGCAACTTAATGACAGAAATCGTACTACTGCACAGCTCTGATTATCACATAATCCTTTTTCAGCATCCACACAATTTCAAGCAAATGTCTTTGCTTAAAGAACAAGAGACATCCATATGAAGGAACTGCATTGTTAAACCTAACGCACTGGAACAATATCCGGGGGAAAAAAACAACATTATTAATGCATTTTTAAAGAACATTTCTACACTGTTCTTATCAAATAAGAGTTGAAAAATCTTAAAGGTAATTAATATTTTTATTTAGCAAGGATGTATTAGTTTTTTTTTCAACTGCTTACACACATTTTCAAAACTTTGCCTCTATTTTTCAAATCTTTACACACAAATCCAAGAATTGAACACACAAAATGCAAAATGCCTCACATCTCTTGCAAAATGAAGCACTGCATTCAAAATATCACAAACACATCTCAAAAACAAAAATTTGCAAACACCTTTGCTATAATATTAATTCCTGTTAGATTTTTGTGTGCTACATAGAGAATTGTGTGTTGTGTTTTGCAAAAAGTGTTTTATGAAATTGAAAACTGAGTCAAAGGCCGAGAATTGGTGTATGGTTTTGCAGATTTTGTGTGTGGTTCTGGTGTTTTAGAGTGTCAGGTTTCAGAAATTGTGTGACCAGTAAAGATTTTGTGTGTAAGCAGTTGAAAACAACTGTAAATTGATCAAAAGTGACACTTATAATTGTAAAATTCTTAAAAAATGTAGCACAGTTTCCACAGAAATATTAATATTTGTTTTCAGAATTGGTAAGAAATGCTTCTTGGGCATCAAATCAGCATATTAGAACACTGGAGACACTGGAGAATGGAGTAATGATGCTGAAAATTCAGCTTTTCTGAATAGGGAAATAGAAAACAGTTATTTTAAACATTACTGACTTGTAACTGGCAGCCATATCACCCTGTAGCCCAAGACTGGTTGCCCACTGAAGCTAAGCAGGGCTGAGCCTGGTCAGTACCTGGATGGGAGACCTCCTGGGAAAACTAGGTTGCTGTTGAAAGAGGTGTTAGTGAGGCCAGCAGGGGGTACTCACCCTGTGGTCTGTGTGGGTCCTAACGCCCCAGTATAGTGACGGGGACACTATACTGTAAAAAGCACCGTCCTTCGCTATATAAATGTAATGAATTATTATTATTATTATTGACTTTTCTCATACTGCAGACAATACCTTACACTAATTGTTTAAAAAAAACATGTTTAACAAGTGTTTTTATGTCTGTAAGTCCAGTTTCACTGTATATATGCACAGACGTCCACTGAAGGTCCAGCTAAACCCCAGTCATGTCCTCTGTGTAGGTATGCTCCAGAATGTCTGATTAATCGGAAGTTCTATAAGGCATCTGATGTTTGGTCATTTGGGGTCACTCTCTATGAAATCATGACCTACTGTGACCGTGACAACAGCCCTCCACGGGTGAGCATTATAAACCTGATATTAAATACATCAGGTATTATAATCACAGAGACTCATCTGCTAATTCCTGTTCTTGTATGTTTCTCTGGTAGGTATTCCTGAAGATGATTGGCCGGTCTCAGGGGCAGATGACCATGGCCAGGCTGGTAGAAGCTCTTGAGAAAGGCTGGAGGATGCCATGTCCAGATTCGTGCCCTGAAATGGTGAGATATCTCTTTTCTCTGACTTTTTATTGTATTATATTATATTACGGGCAGATTCTTCAATAGACGTGTGTCTGTGGCTGCAGGTGTACACTCAGATGCACAGTTGCTGGAGTCACGCCCCAGAAAACAGAGTGGACTTCAAGGGCCTGATCAAACAGTTTGAGTTTCTCCTCACTAGTGAAAACATCTAGCTTCCATTCATCACATCAGTTACACCTACACAATTCAGATTCATGTTGTATTTGTATGTAACTTTCTCATTATACTAAGAAAATGATGCATGTTACTTTCTCTTTAAATCTTTGCCAGTTAATCATCTACCTCCAAAAACACTCTGGTAATACAGAGTATTCTTACTAGGTTAACACACCACTCAGCACTTAACAAGTATCAAGTAGTAAAAAGATTCATTTATAAAATCTGAAGCCGCATCAAATCTAGGGCCAGATTTACTAATAGCTTATACTAGTACAAACCCTCTTTAGGCATTAAAGTGCCCCTATTATGGATTTTTGAAAATTACCGTTCATGCAGTGTGTAAAAAACTACTGTCATGATTTACTAAAGACGTGCAGTGAAAAATTTGCGTGGACAGTTATTTTTGTGGCTGACCTTATGCATTTGTAGGAGTTTCCTTTTCAAACGCAAAATTTCTGAGAGTATTTAAATTAATCATGCAAAGTAATTTACTAAGGTTTATACGCTAGTCAATTTACTGTATTTGTGTCATTATTTAAAGCCCAAAAAGCATGTTTTAATCACTGATCTATATATAATGATCTCTATTATAGATCAGCAGTGTTGGGGGTAACGCATTACAAGTAATGCAAGTTACGTAATCAGATTATTTTCAAGCAACTAGTAAAGTAATTCATTACTTTTTAATTTACAAGAAGTTACTTTTTTCAAATAAGTTATGCAGTTACTTTGTTTTCCCATGTTGAATTTACATTTCCTTCAGCCTTTTACATATACAAAAATGATAACCTTTTTATAATAGAAACAAACAAGCAAGCCAAGCCCAGATGAGAAAAAGTACTGCAAAAGTAATGTAACGCATTACTTTCCATAAAAAGTAACTAAGTAACACAAAGGAGTAACGCAATATTGTAATGCATTATTTTTTAAAAGTAACTTTCCCCAACACAGTAGATCAGTGGTTTTAACCCGTTTTGCACTTGACACAATAATTGCTAATTTGCTCTGCTCTTGGTAGACTGCATTATTATGGAAATGATCTGGATGCATCTGTGTTCTTTAATTTGCTTATTTTCAGTAAATCGCACACAGAACTTTACACTCCTACTAGTGCTTTTATGGGATTGCGATCTCATGCCAATTAGCATATCTGGCCCATAATGTATAAACATATATGATTTATTATTTTATGAAAGATAAAACGCAGAGGTGCCTTAATATCACAGGGGGCATATTTGTTGTATTTACTAGCTAATCTATAGCGGCTCTTCCACCGTCAGGCTGAGCGGTTCTAAGAACGGCAAGAAACGGTTCCAGTTTCCACTTCAGCTCGGTTGTGTGTAGTTTCTCTCTATTGCTGGTCAAGTGTGCTATTTGAGTGAAGCAAACTGAAATATCTCATCATCCTTCATAATACAGTCACTACTTACATCTCATACCGTACTGTATGTAAATACTGTACTTGCATTACCATGGCAACGACTGATACATCTGTATTACGAGCTCTGTTATCAGTGCCACAGTGGAAAACCAAACCATATCCATATCCGAAACCATAATGGAACAGTTAAGCAATGAGAACCTGACGATGGAAAAGCGGCTTAAGACAGATAGACAAGACAGACAGATAGATAGATAGATCTATTAAAATGCAAGGTGCATATATATAGTCATGAATGTCATTTCATTTTATTATTTTTTTTAAATAGTCTTACTGGTTGTTGTATTCAGTTGATTGTACTGTAAACTTTTTAATCATCAAAAAAACTTGTGATATCTAAGTTTGTGCGTACAGTAGGTCATCTAGTTCTTTGAAAGAAAGGGAGTCAGTCCATTCCAGCAGTTCGTCCATTTCTCGCTCCCAGTGTTCCTGCTCATCTGGACCCAGAGCAGCACCAGGAGTCTGGGGGGTCAGCGGGTCTAGTGGGACACACAGCAGAAACTGAGGTGAGGTGAGGTGAGGTGGTATCTCTAAAAGAACACACAGACTGATCTACAGGAGGAATCACCTGGAGCTTTGCACTGCGTGTAGAGTCTTCTCATGCGTTCCACCCGCGTGCGTTTCGCTTTGGTGTGTTTCTTCGGAAGCTTCTGAACAGGGCTGCACATAATGACCATAAAACTTAGAATTACAGTGTTTAGAGTCTTTTACTGTGCTGGAGCTTATTGTAAGGGTGTTCCAATATCAAAAAAGTATATATGTAAATGTAAAGCACATTATATCCACTGAATAAAATCATAGATTGATTATAGGAGGTGTACAATTTAAAGTTGAAACAGTCTATGGAGTGCAGTTCTTAAAGAGACACTACAACTAATACTTTCTATTCCGCTTTTTAATAACAATAAGTCCTTGCATGGAAGCACATTTCCATTATACTGTATAAGAATCATGCTTTGGTAAATCATAATTATGACAAAAGTCAAAAGGTAAAGTTTAAATAAAAAATGATAAAACAAAAAGTAAAAATCATGAAGTCATAATTATAACATAAATTATAATTCATAAATAATTAACTAAAAAGTCATAATTGTGACTAAATTTGACTTTTCATCTAATACTTTTGACTAGTCAATTTCTAGTTTTTATTTCAGTAAAACATTTAATTATGTCAATTATGAAATAACGAGTACAACTTATGACTTCTTGTTCAACTTTTTAGTTAATAATTATGACTATTTAATCTAAACAAGTTGTAGTTTGCAATTGTGGTGCCACAAGGAGCTGAGATACAATTGGAGAACCTTATACAGGAGTCCATAGCAAAGGGAATAGTGTGATATTATGAGTGCCCCTTTATTTCAGAAATGTAAACTATATTTAATTTAAACTACATTTTTAATTATTTTTTAACTGAGCTTGTATGAAATTAGTAGAAATGGGTAACACCAACTGACATGTTGCGCTGTGCTTGAACGAGATGATCTGTCTTATTGCCATTTGACCGGACTGCACATCTGTCTCTACAGTTGATGAATTCATCTGAATCTAAAATGAGAAATATCAATTCATTTTGGCAGACCATCTCCACATCAGACTCTAAAAATACTATTACAGTTGATCTATGCAAGATGTTCTCAAATATAAATGAAAAAGTTGCAAAGATTGCAAATAAAGCACTAACAGTAGATTTGATGATACTCTCTTTTTATGTACAGTATTCCACTTTATCACTTTAAATACAGTCATATCAAATCACTTACATTCGTTTACCATCAGAAGTTCTGGGTTAGTGGTGGCAATTTTCATCCATATGCTAAGATACCCCTCAAAGGCAATTCTACACACTTGTCTTGAAAAGAAGAGGAGCCGGTTTGTTTACAAAGCCTATATTTTTATGATATCTATTACAAAACTTGACAGTAAAAGAGTCTGAAGATTAGTGGTCTTGCCTCTCCCTTGACTTCAGCCCCACACCTTCAGAATCTGTATTTGAACAGATAAATAAAAAAACTGAAAGTATTGTCATAATACGATTTTGTAAATGTTATTTAGTTGTAATCAGAGGTGTAAAGTATTGGAGTAAATGTAATTAGTTACTGTACTTGAGTATCTTTTTTGATACTTTGTAGTTGTACTGAGTATCAAAGATATTAGCAACTTTTTGGAGTAATTTTCACTGAAAGGTATCTGTACTTTTACTCAAGTATGGTTTTTAGGTACTCTTTACACCTCTGGTTGTAATGATGTGAAAGGTGGAGTTGGTGGGTTATTCTTACCCTCCAGCTCCTGGCTCTTCTTCATGACTTGTGTTGATGGAGAGCAAGGCAGCAGCAGGTCATAAGCTTCCATTGTTACTGATTTCTTAAGCAGTAGGCAAGTGAACTGATTACAATGAGTGTGAATTAGGCCACTATATCACAATATATGTGCATGTGGCCTGTAACCTGTTGAAGACTGAGGGAAAGTTTTGCTGATCATGGAAGAGGTTTGTCTGATTAGTTGTTGTTTTTTTTAATCCAGTAATTAATACAAATAGTAATTATATTAAATTAGTAAGTAAGTATATTTTTTAGAAGTTTAGACGTATGCTAGTACTGCAAAAATCAGGGTTTCTTTTTCACAGGAAGCTTCAGGAGAGATTTTATCACTTGGGTGATAATATCCCGGATGCAGCTTTTGGGTTAACGTTACATTATTTGTGACTGTTATTTCCATTTAAAGGTACATTTTGCAGTTCAACTACACATTTAGGGGGGAGTAAAACATGAAATGTACAAGCTATTAGCCTAATGCCTATTATCAGTATATACAAATATATAACTCTCTCCGAGATTATATTTATTCAGAATTTGCTGCATAGAGAACCGTGCAATACCATTTAAACAGACATATAATTCATTTAGTATCAAATTTATATAACAATATCACGACAAAGTCTAATTTAAGCAAGTTTACCCAACTCTTTTTTAAGGACTTAACATCAAAACCCGTAATTAATCAATCATATGCACTCAAATCAGTGCTGGAATAGCGCATTTCACTGCTTTATAAAATCAGTAGTTACCTGTCAGTCACAACTGCGTCTCATTTCACAATTACTTCAGCCAGAATATTACACTTCCACTTCAGATCAGCGCTTGTTTATGAGTGCATGTCGTTGTTGGGCAGCACATTCACGAATACAACTTTCGTCAGTGGTTGGCTCATGAATATTAAATATGTCATGGGCACGTTGCTGGGCAACCTTCCTGAAGCGTCAAGTGGCGTAATTAATATTCATAAGCTAAGCAATGGTGACAGTGAAGGATTCGAGAACGTCTGCACATGCTGCAGTTACACTTTTCGCGGATAGCAATGTTTATTAAAAAAACTGAAATGTAAAGATGACATTTAATATAATCATGTAATAACAGTAGGGCCTCTTCGCCCGGTTCTTTCATGTATCTGTGAAAGCTGCAGGGCAATGGTGACGAGCTCCGCCAGCGCCACCTGTGACAGAAAAACAAAACAACTTATTAATCCAAACATTTTTTGCTCCTAGGCTACGCATTTAACAGTGCTGGGTAGTCCGTAACTGATTCTAAATTTACATGACAAAAATTGTAGTTAGTAACGTAATACACTACATTACACATTTACAGTCTATGATTTTAAGTAGGCCTAAAGCCCCGTTCACAGCGAGAACGATAACTATAACGATAACGATATTAACGTCCGCACCAGCGAACGATATCGTCTGTTTATTCTAAGCGCACATGCGCCTGCCGCTTTAAATTCTTGAGCTCGTTACAGCAGGATGGATTCTGATTGTCTGTCAGTGTTTTATCGTTCATCAGCTGGAAAGAAAATCGTTTTGAAAGTGATCACAACGATATCGTTCCTCTGTATCGTTATCGTTATAGTTGTGGTGTGAACTATGCTATTCTTTAATATTGAGAACGATTTTTAGAACTATATCTTTATCGTTATCTTTATAGTTATCGTGCTTGGTGTGAACGGGCCTTAACCAAAGTCCCTTTAATGGTATTCTTTAGTCTTTGGCCTAACATAAACAGACTTTTTGATTACTTACATATTAGCCTACTTTTGACCTAACCTGTTTATCATATTGTCTGCTAAATGTAAATATTGATTTCATTAGCATAATCTTGCATGACCATATTGATATAAAAATGCAAAGAGAAAGAAAATAAATTGCACTTGTTGTAATTAACAACATGAAGTGCGTTAAGGAACTGCAGGGGGTTTGTGAGTTTTATGAAAACTAATAATTAATAAAAAATGTAAAATATAGGCCTAAGTAACAACAATCAAGATAAAACACACATTTTCAAAACTTTGCCTCTTTTTTTTCTCAAAACTTTACACACAAATCCACGAATTGCAAAATGAAGCACTGCATTCAAAATATCACAAACATATCTCAAAAGCAAACATTTGCAAACACCTTTGCTATAATATCAATTCCTGTTAGATTTTTGTGTGTTACATAGAGAATTGTGTGTTGTGTTTTGCAAAAAGTGTTTTATGAAATTGAAGTCAAAGGCCAAGAATTAGTGTATGGTTTTGCAGATTTGGCGTGTGGTTCTGGTGTTTGAGTGTCTGGTTTCAGAAATTCTGTGACAAGTAAAAATGTTGTGTGTAAGCAGCTGAAAAAAAAAACAGTAAGAAAATTTTTTTTTTTTTAATTTTTGTTTACCTGCATGTCATGTTACCATTAACTAACGTAAGAGAACCGTGAACATGCACACGTGTTACTTAATTACTAACTTACTACCTTAAAATCTCTGGGGTACTTCAAGTAAATTTATTTGGTGAAAAGAGATTTGGCTGACAAAAATGTTTGGCAATCCCTGCATTATATGTAAATAAGAAATAATGTAAATTTGTGCATTTTAATGTGTTTGAAAGACAAAAGCCTTCTAAAGACATCAGGGTTGCCAGGTCTTCACCAGAAAACCCGCCCAATCGCTACTCAAAACTAGCCCAATTGCGTTTCGAGGGGTTCCCCAGTTAAAAATCACGTTCCGCGGGGTAAAAATACACGTTTTTTGGCGGGGTTCCCCTGCTAAAATTCGGATTCCAGGGGATAAATATGTTATTGGAGTCGCTTCAACCTGCGGACATTAAAAACAACCCACGGCAACAGTGTTAAAGTAGCCCAATTCCGCGGAAAAACCGCAGACTTGGCAACACTGAAAGGCATAGTAAAACATGGTTAAATAACCGACTGAATTATAATTCAAATAAAAAGTAATGTGTTCATCAGTAGTGGATGCAGTGTTGAAATGTTAGGAAAACACTTAAAAGTTCTGAAAAAGAAATGAAAAAGATCAACAATTAATTTGCTATTGTGTCATGTAATCAATAAAAAAGTAATTGTAGTCTTATTATGAGTATTAAAGGGGTCATATGATGTTGCTAAAAAGAACATTATTTTGTGTATTTGGTGTAATGCAATGTGTTTATGCGGTTTAAGGTTAAAAAAACACATTATTTTCCACATACTGTACATTATTGTTTCTCCTCTATGCCCCGCCTTCCTGAAATGCGTTGGAAGACCAAACAAAGTAGTTTCGCTTTCACAACTAAACACAGCGCCTTCACAATATGGCGGCGGTGGCAACAACAATACTACAGCGAGAATAAAAGTTACGCCTTCTTTCTTTGTGTGAACATTTGGGCGGCGTTATGCAAATCTTCCCACATCGTGATGTAAACATGTGGGGGCGTGTTAGAACGAGCCGTTTTAGGTAGGCGTGGTTGACTCTTAACTTTTATAAAGAATATCTCTTTGGATTTGAGACTTTAGTCTTTGCAACTTTACAGATCTTCTTTATGCACCAAGAGCTTGTAACACTCCAAAGAGAAAGGAAAAATTGAAATCGCATCATATGACCTCTTTAATATAATCTAATTACAAGTACCTCCTTTTTGGAATCCGATTACGTAATCCAGATTACATGTAATCAGTTACTACCCAGCACTTCGTAAGAAACATCAAATTTTAGAAGTATAAGTTCCCTATAAAAAAGAAGTCATAGTTTACCTGTGGGTCCTGAAAGAGCTTGTTTATATCTTTCTCATAACTGTCGATATACAGACGAACTGTGGCTCCGAAACTATCGCTCACACTGAGACGAAAGATTATGCGAGAACCTCCTTTAAAAACAATCCGCAAACCCTACAGGGAATGTTTACATGTTAATAACAGTATCCCTGTGACAAATGCCTGCTTTTTTGCTGATCTTTTCATACTGACTCAACAAAGAGGATCCACTATATTACCTGGTTTCGTGAAATGGTTCCATCCACAGGGTCACTGTACTCAAAATTGTCTGCCGCCTCCACTTGGTATTTCTTTTCCCCCACAGTAAACACTTGCCCTATGAATGCCCTGTCTGAAATCATCAGCTCCAGATCCAGCATCATCTCCACAGCCGCATCTAAATCCACTTCCTCATAGTCAAATCTGTCAAGTATAAACATGTCGTCAATCAAATGTCTGACTAGAGTCTAGACTGTATGTAGACGGCATCTTTTGCTGATAGTGCACCTGGTGTAGTAGTTCCTCCCGTAGGTTCTCCAGTGGTCTGTCATAATGTCTTCTACACTTTGCCTCCTCGCTGCTAGGATGGACATCCATGCTAGCACTGCCCAGAGCCCATCCTTCTCTCGAATATAATCAGAACCTATAGAGAGAAGAGGAGTTTCTTTAACTGAGGCCATTTTTATGTTCCAATGATTTAAAATAATATGAAATATTTTGTTGTCACATTGAAACTGTACTGGATGCTCAAAATGTAGTTTATGTATAGAATTCAGTGTTTTTTTACAGTCTATGTGTGGTACATTCATTACCTGTGCCAAAACTTTCCTCCCCACACAGCGAGAGACGACCTGCGTCCATCAAGCTCCCAAAATACCTCCATCCGGCTGGGGTCTCATACAGCTGGATCTTGGTGGCTCTGGCCACCCTGGATAAAACAGCAGAGTGAGTGGAGATGCTGCTGGTCCTGTTAAGTACACATCTACACAGTGTGAAACGTTTAGGAGTAATATTCACATGTCCAGAGCGGCACTGGTGGGCATACTCCTAGCAAAGCCTCTTACTCCTGTGTGCTGGAAGTAAGGAATGCAGAAGATGTTCGCAGCGATGACGGCAACTGAGTCGGAGGGGTTTACGAAGAAGCCGTGCTTCCCCAGGATCATATTACGCTCCTAGAAAGAGAGAGAGAGAGAGAGTGAGGCCAGGGTCAAGAAAATGTTATGCTGACTGTCACTTGAGCACATCTGCTTGGGTCAAAGGTCGTACAGCAACATCGATCTCAATGTCTCAACACCTACACCGTCACCATCAAAAGCAGCTCCGAAGTCATACTGTCCGCTCTTCATCGTCTCAACAAGGTCAGCGGCATAGATCAAGTTGGGGTCTGGGTGGCCACCTCCAAAGTCCTCCAGAGGTGCACAGTTGATGGCTGAATTTGCAGGGGAGCCCAGCTCCTCACACAGGATCTTCTTCACATATGGCCCAGTCACTGCAGAACCAAAAGAGTCAGTGCTTTTAAAGGTGCAGTATGTAATATTGAAATGGTTACTGAAGTCCAAATCAAAATATTGGAGAAAGTTTTTTTCTCCCGCTCCCTCCTCCTGCTGTAAGACTGGATGCTCATACGGGTTGCCAGATTGAGGACATGCAACAGTAACAAGAGTAACTGACAATGGAAGGTAACAAGCCTTACACTGTAAGTTGTTGAGCTGATTTATACGCATTTCAATATGCCTCTGGTCATAGAGCTTTTCAGATGGATGCCAAGGCTTTTTAGGTTGGGCAGAATCTATGATCTCTGACCCAATGGGAAAGATTCCCCCCACTGGGGAAGTCGTGGCCTAATGGTTAGAGAGTCGAACTCGTAACCCAAAGGTTGCGTGTTCGAGTCTCGTACTGGCAGGGATTGTAGGTGAGGGGAGTGAATGTACAGCGCTCTCTCCCACCTTCAATACCACGACTGAGGTGCCCTTGAGCAAGGCACCGAACCCCCAACTGCTCCCCGGGTGCCGCAGCAAAAATGGCCGCCCACTGCTCCGGGTGTGTGTGTGTTCACTGCTGTGTGTGTGCGCACTTTGGATGGGTTAAATGCAGAGCACTAATTCCAAGTATGGGTCACCATACTTGGCCACATGTCACGTCACGTCACTTTCAATTCATTTGCTGGCTTCAGTGGCTGCAATATGCTGTGTTTTCCATCAACTGGCAACCCAGGGTGTGTTGGCAATGAATGAAATCGCACAGATCAAAACAAATACAGACACTGCCAAACAGAATGCACATTTCAAAAGTAGAATAATTGTAGGAGAGTTGTTTTTTGGAGAAACAGGTATGTGAACTTACCATGTTTCCAAAATATCTGCATACATATTATGATACTTTTATTCTTAAGCACAGTTAAAAAAAATAATAATAATAATTTTAAAAAACACATACAGCACTTTTAATGCAATAGAATAGAAGACCAATGGCCATTTAGGCATTTAAAAACTACTGTCCGGATTTACTAAAGACACGGAGTGAAAAATTAGCACTGAAAAGGTGTAGACACAGTTAGAGCATTTTCATAGATTCAATTTTATTAAACTAAGCTAATTTCTATAAAACCTTATTAAGCCCTTTATTAAAACATTTATAAACCCTGCAGACATAAGAAATACTGGACTGTTAAAATTCAATTAAAGGAATTACCATAGACGTAAAAACCTATATTACCCTTGTGAAAAAAGAAGTGCACTTAATTTTATTGAATCTGCACTTCAAATCTTAGAAGTATATTTCAAATAGAAGTGTACAGATATGATGATATCATATTAATTCAATATAAGGCCACTTAAATGTATTTAAAGAGAGTACACTTTCAAGATGTTTCTTACACTTAAGTACACAATTTGTTTTGTTGTGTTTAAGAAGTATGCTTATTTTGATGAAGACTAACATAGTAAATCACATGTCAATGACATATTTTAACTACACTGTAAAAAAAAAAAAAAAAAACTATATTAACTAAAATAAAACTATACTATACTAAAATATTAAAGTTAATATTTTAAATGAACTAAATTTCTACTTCATAATTACACATAATATTTAATTTAAAATATAGTAAATATAATACTATATTAAATATATTTAAATACATGACATACACATTTAAACAGAAATTACATTAAAATTATATTTTAGTTTACCATAAACGACAGAAGTACTTAAAAAAAACAAAAAAACAAATGCTAAATCATTCACTAACCCTGCAAAGTTATATCCATTTGTAAACGATCTAAAACTTCTGTCATCATCTATTCACCCTCATTACAAACCTATACAACAGAAAAGAATATAAGCGTGTTGGAGTGAAAACATAATTGGACCCCAATTTTCACTTCAATTAATGAACAAAATATACATAGAGAGAGATTTTTCAAAACATCTAAATGAAGATAAGTAAATGATGACAGAATTTTTATTTATGGATGAACTATACCTTTAACAACCATGCAAAGCATGTAAACCTAAATCTTTTGTATTAATGCAAGCATACTAATAACTACTTGCAAAGAACTGGTTACGTGAAGCAAACTCTACACACAGCTACATTTGTAAGCACAGCAGTTAAAGCAGCACTATGTAACTTTTGGCGCTCTAGCGGTTAATAAACAGAACTGCACACATCCCGCGGAAGAACATTCCAACCGGAGCTACTTCTCTAAGTTTATGTCTATGGCGATTCACGCAGGTATGTGTTACTCCGCAGCGGTGACGACCCGACCAGGCTACAATAGTGCAAATATAAGTACTTATTTGGAAGATGAATTCATGATGTACTCGCTCATTATATACATTTAGCAAATTGTGAACACAGAAAAAGTTACATAGTGCTGCTTTAATCCACCTAGTCAACTTTACAGCTCAAATAACAACATGCATGAATGCAGAAGATTCCTTTAATTTCAAGGGGCTCATCAATGTGGGATGGTGTTACTCCTTGAAAGTGGAGAGCCATGCTTGGTTTTAGTGTTATGTCAGATGGCTCGTCTTAATCATTCAGATCACTGCACATTCATGGAAACTCAATCTCGCACAGAAGCGGGCAGCAATGCGAGCCTAAATTCATCCCTGTCCAACTGGCACACATGGAAGCATCTTAGTCCATTAAGTAGATGCAGCTGCTACTCTAAAGGCTCTTTTCAAAATGTGGGAAATGGTCTTGATGAAGCGTTGGCTGTGGTGGTAACTCAATGGCTATATCAGTCCGTTTCTGTATCAGTGGAAAGAAATATGGTTCCTCACCTCCATGCATGGCATCTAAACGGATTTGTATGTGGTTGTCTCCGGACAGAAGCTCCTTTAGAACAGCGAAATCGAAGATGTTCCTCAGTGAGTTGGCATAGGATTCGACTGGATCCACAATTTCCACTGCCATGACAGAATATTGACAGGACATGCATCCATTCTGTTCATAGCTCTTAAAAAGATGATATCAACAGCTCAGAAGTTGCACATGTTGTCACCTGTAAAAGGTTTGAATTTGTTCTCCAGGTCGAAGGACTGCTTGCCGATAGTCCCCAGATCGACTCTGAGTTCAGGACAGATGGCAAGCTCCTCTATGGTTCTGCTCAACTGGAAGATTTTATTCGTGACAGCCTCTGGTGCTGGACCTGTATGGAGGAATTATCAAGAACTCAAATAAAACAGTTCATTAAAGCAGATGTTGTAAGACTGGGTCTACTTTATGTTATTTGATCTGTGAAGAAGGTTCATATTTAGATTTCACCCCATATATATATATATATATATATATAAATTGCTTGAAGAAAATGAAGCTTACATTACATTTATATTGTGACTTCTTCATGAAAATTGAGTACATTTCATTCCCTAATTTTTTATTATAGTAAAACCAAAAATTTTGCATTTATTTTAAATTGTGTGTATTGTTTTTAAACACACACACACACACACACACACAATCAAAAAATTTAAAATACAGAAAAACTGTAATATTGTGTTAAAATTATTACAATTTAACATAACTATTTTTTATTTTAATGATGTCAAAGCTGAATTTTCAGCATCATTACTCCAGTCTTCAGTGTCACATGATCCTTCAGAAATCATTCTAATATGCTGATTTGCTGCTTAGGAAACATTCCTAATTTTTATCAATTATGAAAACAATTGGGATGTTTTTGTGGAAATATTGACTTTTTTTTCAGGATTTTAGCATTTATTTGAAATAGAATTTTCAGTAACATTACGAATGTCTTTACTTTTACTTTTCATCAATTTAATGCATTCTTGCGGATTAAAAGTTTCTTTAAAACGTTTTTAATTTAAAAAAACAAAACTTACTGACTCCAAACTTTTGAATGATAGTGTATTATAAAGATCAATGTGGGCTTTTCAATGACTTAATAATATTATTTTACTTTTCGTTAAATTAAATTAAATTAAATTATTAAATTAAATATACTGCATTACAGTAATGGGAACATAATGAAAATCAACACTGACAATTTTGAAATATACAAATTAACTCTAATGTAAAATATCATATGAATAGTATAATAGAATAATTTGAGTGGAATCATGCTAAACTGCCACAAAAACAAAGTCACTAGGAAATAATGCTTTATGATCATAACTTGAGCCTCATTTTAGGTACATATCTTATTTCTGTCATTGATTTTTGAGTGAAATATGACATCTTTCCTTCATCTTCATAATCACACGTGAGCCATTTTACCTCCACTGGCAGTATTGAATTTGATGCCGAAGTCTCCGTCAGGTCCTCCAGGGTTGTGACTGGCTGTGAGAATAATGCCACCGATAGCTTTGATCTTCCTGATCACACACGACACAGCGGGCGTCGACATGATGCCATTCTGACCGATCACAACACGACCCACCTGAGAAATTCACCAGCCCATGTTAAATAAAACACCACCTGTAACTGGGAAATAATATATAGATTTTTCTTCATAACTTTGCAACTACATGTCAACTAGCAGTCATTAGAGTATCAGTAGATTGCCTGTTTAAAACCTGCTAACACTTTATTTTGATGGTCCCCCAACAGACATTCTACTAACTATATAAGTATCTCTGGAAGTACATGTCAACTAACCCTAGCCTAACAGTCTTATAATACACTAATGAGAGTTGGTTATAGACGTTGAAAATTAATGGGAGTTAGTTGACATGAAGTTGCAAAGTTGCTCATAGTTAGTAGAATGTATAAAGTGGACTATCAAAATAAAGCTTTCAAATAAATTTCAGCTGGAAATTAAAGAATGTTATAATAAACTCTTTCATTAAAACACAAGGTATATCTAGACTTTCAATTGCTTATAACATCCGAATGGAGGCCAAAGCTGAGCACAACTCAAGTATCTGCTCTAGTATTGCACTTCACTCAGCATGTTTTTTTCCGCCTGTGCCAAATCTAATTGGCAAAATTAAAAATCTTGCGACTGCGTCAAGAATAAATATATTTTGCGGCAAATTTAGAACTGGAAAGTGGTGAGCAACAAACTAGCTCCATTAAAGCTTCTTCCCTATTTCTTGCCATCAAAATATAGGAACATAAAGTACAATTTACCACAAAAGATACCGTGCAGGTGAAATGATGCATTTGAATGACAGGTGTCTATAAGGATGTGTGAGATTCAGAAGCATAAAAAATGATTTTCAAAGATTATTGGAGTTTGTTTTACATGAAAATATACTATATACTAATACTTTTTTATTCTTTCTGCTTCAAAATTTCAAAGTTCATTCAATGTGTTACTTACCACTTCAAATTATTTGTGAAATGTAATCATTTCTGAGTGAAAACTGATTCTACACTGAATTTGTTCAGTGTAGGGTTCCTCATAAGAAAACATACTGTAAGAATCGCAACTGACCCCATTAGCGGCAGCCATCTGCACTATGACCTGAATGGCAGTCGAATTGAAGTAGCGTCCATCTCCACCCACCACCATAGTGGAGCCCTGCCTGTCCCGCAGGTCGATGGAGGAGAAGATGCATTGAATGAAGTTGTGCAGGTAGTACTTTTCAGACTGGAAAACATGGGTCTTCTTCCTCAGGCCATTGGTTCCGGGCCTCTGGTCAGGGTACGGAGAAGTAGGCAAAGTCAGCACTTGCAAGGGACTATCGTTCATTGCTCCAGTCCGTTGAGGAAGAATGAAGGAGAAGCTGTTAGCTCCTCTCAGAGGAGAGAGAGAGAGTGACTGGGACAGGAGGAGAAGGAGGAAAAGCCTTGTGCCCTTATGGCATTCCCCAGAGTTGGACTGAGGCCGTTAACGGGCTAAAAATAAACTTGGTAACCGAAGACCGCTTCTCACACATGTGCATGGAGATCACTGTCAGACAAGCTCGCCTCCAGAGGCCTGTTGAGGCAGATGCATAAGATGACCAGCGAGGCCTCATTCATGTGCGGTATTTACTCAGCATTTACTCAGAAGCTAAATAGAGCTGATGCTGAGTGAATAAGCCTGGGATGATCTGCCTGTAAACGCTACGTGAGTTGTTTTGACATATGCTAAATCGCCCAGGATCATTCAAGATCCATGGCTAATGAAAAACGTGCCATATAGCTTGATAACTGGGTGGCGTTTGGGGGCAGTATAAGAGGGGTTTGGGTTTTGACTGCAGCACCTCTACAATCCTTAAGGATGAAATTTCTGCGTTGATGTGTTGATCGTAACAGGTGGTTTAGCTGGCTCCAGAATGAACCGAATAAAAAAAGACCCAGGGAAGTTCTTACTGCAACAAGACCAGGTCAGTTGGGAAAAGAAAGGAAAAAAGATCTTTCAGATACAAAAAAGGCTCACACTGTGGATTTTCTGTTTTTACAGTGATAATGTATTTGCTCTTGGCAGATAAATTTGCTACGCTGCTGTTGCTACAGAGCAAGTACGGAGAATTGCTAATGCCAATGCATCCACAGACAAGCTGCTATGAGCATGCAAGACATACTGCTGCCACACAAATGTCAAATTTTACAAAAGTTACCTATAGTAGATCTAGACAGGTGGAGCTGGGGGAGGTAGAGGGTTTCTGACAGTGTGCTGCAAGACTTGATTACAACAAACACTGAACCAAACTTTTTATGCCATGTAGTGAAGATGTGATTCCTTGCAGGACCTATCAGATGCACCATCTAGAGTTTCATGACTGAACTACATACGTGTCCCCATTTTTTTTTTATTACTGATTAACAGGATACTGAAGTTGGTCACATTTTATTAAATTTGATTGATTTCTTCTGAATATCAGCACATATACCACACATTTTGATGTGTTACATAAAATAAAATATAAAATAAATCGGTAACACTTTAGTTTAGGGACAAATTCTCACTATTAACTAGTTGCCTATTAGCACACTAGTATATTAGCTGTTTATTAGTAATTATAAAGCACATATTAATGTCTTATTCTGCACGACCATATTTTAGATCTCTTAACCCCATTCCTAAACTTAACAACTAACTTAAGTATTAATAAGCAGCAGATTAGGAGTTTATTGAGGCAAAGTTCATTGTTAATAGATAGTTAATAGTGGTCTCCAAACTAAAGTGTGACCAATGAATCCAATTCTGTCTTTTTTATGGAAATAAAATATACTTTAACTTTATTAGTTTCTGTCCTATTCCCAATTTTTATATGCAGTTTCTGTCTCTACATTATCTGTTTAGCTGTTTGGCAGTCTGGAAAGGAAATAAGTTCATCTTAGTGCTCCAACTGGCCAGGTTTTATGATCGTGACTCCAGCTTTTAGCATTGGTGCCTGTGGTTAAAGTTGTACCAAATACACATATTAGCTCTGTTATAGGATACAATCATAAAGATCAATTTACAGAAAAAAAATTTTTTTGTTCTTGGCACATGCACAGCTCTCCGTGGTGTGTGTATGACAATTACAGCCTTGGTACCTACATGAGGAAAAGGAAAACTTCAGGAAAATATGATTTCCCTCATTGTAGTCTTTTGAAATGATAAAAAAAACAATCATTTATCATTTTGTAAATATTTCTGTTGCCCAAATGGCACCAATTTGCATGTAGAGTTAACACAGCTCTACTGTATGTACTGTTTTACTGAACTTTAATTGAAAATGACTGCAATTATTGGCAGTGCTCAACAGAGGGCGATGCTGCATCAGCTATGAACATCATTGCTATTGCTCTCTCTCCCTCTCTTTCACTATGTATGTTCCGCTGAAAATTCCTCTGATTTTATTGCTATTTTTTTTTTTTTACCATTTATTACATAAGATGTTAGAAATTCGAGAAGGGTCTGGCTGCAGCCTTGCACTTGCACTCTCAGGCTTGCATTCTCAGACACTTGCACTTCCGCTAGCGACGTCACTTGCAGTCTTTTTTATTTTGTTCTATTTATTGAATACTTTTTGTTTGAATCTCTCAACATTTTACAACAGTAGCCAGGTGGTGAAGACAAGAAACAATAAACTAACTTACGAAGTCACTTGCAATCGCCACTTGCACTCTCCGATACCTGCGACGTCACTTGCAATCAACACAAACCTTGCGTGTTGCCAATGGAGACAAGACTCTGTGGTGATTAAACGATTACAACTAATTTTGTACCGTAACGTACAGGGTCCTGCAAGCCATCTGTAGGAGAAAAAGACAAGACCCGCAAATCCGTGGCTACAGAACAGCAGAATATGAACGCAATGCACAAAGTCTCTCGTTAAGCGTTTTCCTCCTGTGACACTTAATGACAGTTGTCATAAACATGCATAAAACCTCCTTCATATTCATGACATGTGTCATGTCATGATTATGAAGGTGTCATGTCAGTCTTATGCACACCTCTTCAAGTAAAGTGTTACCAGTGATTTTAAAAGGATCAACTCAGTACAGGCAAGCAGACGAGCCCAGAACGCAATTCGTTAAATTGCACGTTAAAAATGTTCCTCCCATAGAAAATCATTATTAATAAAACACGTAATGTAGCTTAATGGACAAAAACAGTGATATAAAAGAGCTGTAGACAGTTTATTCTATATGGAAAAACGCTTAACGCGAAACTGTGCGTGTTCTACAAGGCAAGCAGATGGCCATGAACACAATGCGCAAACTTTCACTTGTCCTCCCATACAGCAAAACGCTTAATGTGGCATAATAACGCATGATAAAAACAATACAGTAGCCTATATGTCTTGTTGTTGACTCAAAGTATTTACAGAACAGCAAATATGAACGTGCATTTTGAAATGCATTAAGTGATTTGGTTACACTTTACTTGAAGGGGTGTGCATAAGACTGACATGACACCTTCATAATCATGACATGAAGCAAATAATAAGCCATCGGATCATTTTAAATACATGTTTATAAAACGAATAGTTCCGGTCCTTGATTCTGATTGGTTGAGCCAAGTTCGAAGCTTTGAGGTCAATGTGACTCATTTAAACACATGGCTGAAAGTGGCTCTCAGAAGGTTAAATGAGAGGTTTCCTGGTTGGACTCATTACAATGTTATTAAAATGACTGGTGGAGAAACTGAATCATGTGGAGCTCACTGGACTAATCACAGTGTAAATGTCCCATTTTTACTTTTTTTACTGCATCATATTGATAGGTTCATACTCATCAATGGGAACTTTGTCATGTCCATGAAACAGTTACTTTGTAAAAACAATGTAGAATTTAATGTTAACAAAATAATGAATAAAAATATATATGTACTGGAAGTAGTGCAAAAATAGCAAAAGCTGTACAACTGTGCATATGACATCTTGAGGTCAATGTGACTCATTTAAACACATGGCTGAAAGTGGCTCTCAGAAGGTTAAATGAGAGGTTTCCTGGTTGGACTCATTACAATGTAATTAAGATGACTGGTGGAGAAACTGAATCATGTGGAGCTCACTGGACTAATCACAGTGTAAATGTCCCATTTTTACTTTTTTTACTGCATCATATTGATAGGTTACCACTAGTTTCACTAGTTAAGGGTAAATGCTTGTTTATCTTATTTGCACTGACCTTCAACCACTTAGTTTAAATTTAAATTTCATTAAATTTTAAAAGTAAAATATTTTAGAATATTTAATATTAATTGCAGGGAGTAATTTTTTGCAATACTACCAGAATTTCAGTATATGAATTCCAAATAGCCTACTCTGACACAAGGCTGTAACCACATGCGTGACCAGATACTATATTTCTTCTGAAAGTTTTTATGCCAGGATGTCTCATGAGAACATATTGGGACAAGGAAGGCAACATTATAAAAGAGGAATGCTGGTCAAATTGGACATACTGTGAAATTATGTTGTAAAAAGATACTAAAAGTAGGGCGTTAAGATTCAGACTTCTCAACACCAATCACAGAGCGCTGCATTGTGCTCCACTCTATAATCACAGACTGAACACATTCGGTTTATGAGCACAACATTCTTGATTTAGCTCACTGCTGAAGTCCCCAAATCCATCCTCATACTTCTCCCAGGACTGATCGAAGTCCACAGAGCCGTCATGTCTGCGCTGGATGACAGTGAACATTCCCTCTGTGGATGACAATATCACAAAGAGACTGTCATCTTAAAGTTTTATGAGAATCTCTTTTCTGTGGAAGGAAATCACCTCTGGCTGTTTTCAGAAATCAGAGATCTGAGAAAGAAAATGCCTTATCCTTACCCTCAGTGAATTCACATTTCACAAGAAACGGTTGTGACTCGTGAGGTTTAATGGCATACAGGCCACTGGATTTCTGTCCTCGGCTGAAGACCTCGCCACAGTCTTTTGGAAGATCTAAAACACAACCTGATATGTGGGTCTACAATTGAACAGATGCAATAACATTTTTCAAAGCAAACCATTCCTGCATCCCATACCGCTTGAGAAGCTCCCATCAGATGTGAAGTATGGTAGATATCCTGAGAGGCTGTTGCTTTGGTGCTTCCTGTCCAAATTTTCATCAGTTTCCTGAATATGTGCAGAGTTGAACTAGGTAGAAATTGAAAACTTAGAAACACTCAAACTCAAAATTGCTCAAAAAAAAATTCATAAGGAGGTTTCCAAATCCCATACAGTATCTGACTCAGGTTCCTCTTTCACTGCAGGCCTATGGGGTATTTTAGTCTATTTTAATGTCTGCTGGGTGCAGACAGTCCCATCACTTAACTAAGTAATACCATGCTTACCAACAAGCCAGGTGATTTAAAATATATTTTTCTGTCATGATAACTCTCTGAGAGTTTAGCATGGTAATATACATGGCAATGTTAATGTGTTTGGTCTTGGCGGAATAAATCTGCTACACTGCTGCTGCAGCAGAGCAAGAACTAACACTCGGTATTGCCAACACATCCACAGACATGCTGCTGTAAGCATTTAAGAAATGCTGCTGCTGCACATATATGAAACAACCACCATATAGCATACATGAATCCCCCCATAGCAGATCTATACAGGTGGAGCTGGGGGAGGTGGAGGATTTCTAAAGCATGCCGCAGCTGCTACAGCAAGCACTGGCAGAGTATTTGAATGTTGAGCAGCGAGCTCATTGGCTGCTGATGTGAAGAAACTAATCAGCTGCGCCATGTGATAATGATGTCATTATGTCAGATTGAGTTTGGCCTATTTGACTGCGACATCTAGAGTTTCATGCTGGTATCTTAATACTGTACTTTATTTTCCAGGCCCTTGATTTTGGTCCTTTGGTTGTTGAGCTGCTCGCTCTGTTCCCTCACAGCCTTCAGCAGATCAGTGATGCTCTTTTCTTGGGTCAGGATTATCTCCTAATAGACAACAACAACAAAACCTGAGCACGGCATAGACAATTAGAGATCACATCTACTAGAGTCCCAGATGTTTTCCCTGCTGTCTTGGGGTCTTTTGTCAAACATAATTGTGAACCTGACACAGAGTTATATGCCATAGGAATTATGCATTGCACTGAGTTTTAGGGTTAAAGGAAATTAACTTAAAGGGGTCATATGATGCGATTTCAAGTTTTCCGTTCTCTTTGGAGTGTTACAAGCTGATTGTGAATAGATAAGATCCCTGAAGTTGCAAAATCTAAAGTCTCAAAACCAAAGAGATATTCTTTATCAAAGTTAAGACTCTGCCACGCCCCCCTAAAAAAATTTAATCCAAATGCATAAATCTACTGTAAATGCCACATACTAAAATATTAAAATATGTATAATTTATATACTGTACATTTCACTATATAACTTATTATTTGGACCATGGGAAGAAAACACATTTCCTGTAAGGCTCTAATTTGGTTAAAACTTGGTTATATCTTTGGGAATATCTTTCATTGTTGAATATTTATGTCTTTATTGAATATTTATATTTATTATATTATTGAACTTTTTAACCTTTCCACTTTTCAAAATTGAACTCTTCGAAACTGAGCAATCAATAGATTACTTATAGGAACTTATAATCAATAGATTTTGTCCATACTATTTTTTTTTTTTAAATAACGTTATCTGAAAGCAATGTGGTGGAAAATAAAAAGGAAATATGACTGTGCTAATTTGACACTGCTTACCTTAGTTTAGAGAAAGATTTCCATCCAGATGTTTAAAAAGAATGATACACATTCATGATATAAATAAAAAAAAATTTAATATCGTGTTGTAAATATGAATGCTTTTTCTAAAACTTGGACTAAAGAAATTCCTCTCTCATGTTATTGTTGAATTTCAGGAATTGTTGAACTCTTCCCTGCCTCTTCAAATTCCAATTCAACATGTGGCCAACACGTGGCTAATTCAGTTCAAATTCACTATCATGAATTGAAAAAGAGTCAGTTCTTAAATCGTCAACCCTGAAATGTGAATAAATGACCTACATATAAAGCATCTTGCTTAATTACATTTGAGGATTTTCTGTTTCTATCCAAGACATCCAAAACGTTACAGATCTTGCCTTACCTTGAGCGTGGAGATTTCAGCCACCTGCTCAGCTGAGAGCAAACTCTGGGACAGGCCGCTTAACTTCTCCTCCAAGCCTCCCACCTGCCTCCTCAGATGCTTCCTCTCTTTTATGATATCTTCCACTTTGGAGTTGATCTCCAGTGACAGACTCTTTATTTCCTCATTATTTGCCTTTAAGATCCCGGTGGTCTTCTTCAGTTCCTCCTCCTCCTCCTTGATCTCACTGGCCAGCACAGAAAGTTGGTAGAAGGATTTGTCAAAGATATTGAGCTTTTGGAAAATATCTTTGATTTGACTCTTGGTATTCTGCACAAAGTCCCTCAGGCTATGGCCCAGCTGTAGGAGGCCATTTGCCAAAAGCCGAACTTCATCCAGAGCAGCAAAGCGTAAGCGGCTCTCTGTCTGATGTTCAGGAAAGGTGGGTTGTGTAGGGAAGGAATGAGTTGATGCCAGAAGGAGCAACAGCACAAGCAGTTTCATGGCTGCTTCTTTAGACTAAGCCTGCTATGGTGCTCACAGTGAGAAGCCCACAGTTTTGAACTTCTTTTACGGGCCTCCTCTTGTTAATCATTAAGCAGGGTGAGGGTGACCTGTTACAGACTTTTATAAATCCCAGCGCTCAAATACCACAACATTTCAGCTATATTCACAGCTCACAACATCATGCAACATTCAGTTTTAGGATCTGTCAAAAGGATCTGTGAAGATAAATGACCAGTAAGACTGACCATGATAAAAAAATCTTCAAAATTCATAAATGTTCTATTTGTATTATTGGATTTAATTTCCATTTCGATTTTGATGTTCAATTTAATGCCTCTCATGTGGTGTAACCATGAAGTAAAAATATTTTCCTCACATTTGAATACTAGAAATTTTTTGAAAAAAAAAAAAAAAGTGCTTTCATAAATATATTACAAATATTAAATACATTAATAATATTTTTTTTAAATAAAATGTTTTAGTATTTATTTTAAAATATATATTTTTTATAAATAGCATTAATTTATCATTCATAAATATTATTAAAGTTTTATTTTTAAAGTAGACCCCATTATATTTTGTAATCTGAACTAAACTTGTCTTATTATAAAAAGGTCAAATTATTTGATATGTTAAAAGACCTTGACCTCCGTTGCACCTCATGACTCTTGATTTGGTGATTGTTTTTCAAATATTAATAAGCAGTTTTCCAGAACATTTATATTTATGCATTTGGCAGACACTTTTGTCCAAAGCAACTTACATTTGTCCAAAGCATTCACACTGTAAAAAAATTAAAAAAAAAAAAAAAAAAAAAAAAAAAAACCACCTATTGTTGTGGGTGTATTATTGACACGTCAAAGTCTAGACCCTGAATATAAGACGACCGCATTTTTTCAGATGTATTTCCAAGAAAAAAACATCGTCTTATATTCGGGTCAATACGGGTATATATATATATATATATATATATATATATTTTGTCAAATCAACTTAGATAATTAATGTTGTTCAGATAAAATAATAGCCTACTTTGAAAGTTGATTAAGCCAGTCTCTTTCTTTGTATTAACTCAACTTGTTAGTTTCAATAAACTCTCAATTTTAAGGCAATCAGGTTACTTATTTTAAGTTAAACAAAAAGTAACAGTACTACAGGAAAGCACAGTACAGTTGGGCTCTGTGGCCTACCATTTTAAATACATATTTAGAAATCCTTTCATAGTATTTTAAATAGGTCAGGATGGACCATATTTGACTTTATGTGTGACTGTTTGTGAGCAAGTATTGATTTAGGAGAATGACCTGAGGTTCCCAGATTGTTTTTGACAAAATGGAGGGAAAAGTAAGGATAGTTTGCAGCCATAAAAGTCTCTTGTATAATCTTAGTATACCACACACTATGAAAATGTGCATAAGGCAGACGGTAATTTGAATACTTGTCTGGCTTGGATTTGACTGTATAACAGATTGGCATTCCACAAAATGGGAAATGGCGAAACAGTTCCAGAATTTCCTAATATAGTGAGCCTATAGGATCAGTTCACACAGAATGCTTTTTTGCAATGCTTTGTGCTTTTCGCACTAAATTGTATTTCCTTGTAAACGGTTACTTTAATATTGCCCAAATAATTTAAACTAATTTAAATGTAAAGGTAAATCGTAAAGAAAATGTACAAATTAAAATTTGTAAAGCGATTTTTCAACCAAAAATTAATATAACTGTTCTAAATATCAGCCAAATTAATAATTGTAGAGGCACACTTTTTAAAAGAAGTTCAGCTTTTGACTTTTTGCTGGAATTAATAGACTTTTTGTTCATTTACAATCAAACAAAACAATAAGTTGCAAAACGTATAACACAATAATAATAATATAATAATTATAAAATAATTATATATACTATATTCATCAGCACCTTCATAAATTTAAATTCTAAACACTGATGCACTGTTTTATTCATCTTTTTTTTTCTTGTAGAATTTTTTAAATCTCCAAAAGATAAATCGCCATCTTTGCTTCGACCAAAGTGACTTGAACGCAACTGATATGCGAATTATGACTTTCGCAAATACAAACTTCCCAGGAGGACTTGAACACACCATAACACTTGCACTGCATCTGAAATCGAATACTTCCCTAATATATAGTATGCGAAAAACAGTATGACAAAAGTAGTGTGTCCGAATTCACAGTATTCGAAAAACAGTAGGCTAAAAGTACCTAGATGACCTACTGCTTCCGACGAGATTCTGAGGTGCGCGTTCAATGGACGTTTTATCCCATGAGGCCACAGGAGAGGATTTATGATGTAGTATGTCTGAATTTCATTCAGATTCATTCTATATAGAACATACCTTATTAATTTATTAACTATGATAGAATTTGAACTTTATTTTAGTAAGTTCAAATCCAAATTTTGTACCTACTCAGTGTGCAATTTTAGGCTGAGTTTAGAATAGCACACTAGCATACAAACATTAAGTCTGTGCAATATAATACTAAAGGCCCGTTCACACCAAGGACGATAACTATAAAGATAACGATAAAGATATAGTTCTAAAAATCGTTCTCAATATTAAAGAATAGCAGAGTCCACACCACAACTATAACGATAAAGTCACAGAGAAACTATATAGTTGGAATCACTTTCAGAGCGATTTTTTCCAGCTGATGAACAATAAAAACATTGACAGCCAATCAGAATCCATCCTGCCATAACAAGCTCGAGAATTTAAAGCGGCAGACTCGCGTGCGCTTAGAACTTATAACGATATCGTTCACTGGTGTGGACGCTAATATAGTTATCTTTATAGTTTATGTTCTTGGTGTGAACGGGCCTTAATGCTTGCCTTAGCAGATACCAGTAATAAAGTGCTAAATGATAATAAGGAAAGGATTTTTTTTTTCCTGCAACACTATATATTTTACCATTATTTTGCAATTCAGTTGGCACCTTGTCCTTTCAGATTATAGAGTTGCGTGCACTAGATTTGATGTGCTGTGGTCACTGTGACAAAATAACCCTCTATTTACCAATGACAGCTACTTTGATTTTGAAAATCATAAAAGACCAAGGTTGCCCAAGACTGTGTGTGTGTGTGTGTGTAGAGTCTTTAGGCTACAGCTGCTAATATCATCAGTTCTGACTTCATAGCTCTCCAGCGTCCTACTAAAAACAAAACTAACCATTAGCTATAACTATACCGCTGTCCATTGCCACATGGCAGTGAGATTATTTCCTATTTTCCTGAAAGATCGTTCTGTGTCCCTCTGCCTTCTATTTCAGCAGAGACTGGGACGACGATACCTCTGAACTTTTCATCATAGTCAAAGTTTTTCAACTGGCTCAAAAGCCAGTGAGAGAGCCAAACAAAACAAAAATGATTATATAAGGGGGCTGATCATACAACTTTATGCACGCTTGTTTGTGACCTTCACAACCTGAGGACTAAAAATAAAAATTTGTGAAATCAGTTCTGTTGAACTCAAAGCAGATTTCCAACAAACGTAAATCAAAAAGCTTTGGGCCACCTCCAGTTAAAGGTTAACTTGCATAAGGATGACACAGTAAAAAAAACAACAAACCTGACCCGATTCTGTCCAACACAGACGCGTGTCTGAAGTCTGTATCACCTATGTTTGTTGTTTAAGATTTGGATTAAAGCTTGAATTGATCATTTCTCATGGACCAGCAATCAATCTCTGAATGTTCATCCCTATAGCATGCTGTTTGTATGGTTTGAACAAGGATTGATAAAGCCATATTTGTTTCCTAATGTTTTTGTTACGAATGGGTTTACTGAATAGCCTACACACAGATTGTATTCAATGCACATTATTTACAGCCTTCTCTTATATCACTGATGGCTCAGCCTCTTTGTAAATACAAGCATGCAGAAATGCTATAGTGTAAATACATCTGAGAACAACATTATAGAAAAAAATCTGAATTCAGTTATGAAAGAAACTGAAATCACAAAATGACAGTCATTTCTACTCAGACTATAATGTACTGTATGTTACTTCTAGTCTAGTGGGAATCTAAAATTGCAACCAATTACGTCTAACCCTCAGGCTTTAGCAAGTAAAATACCCATAAAAGTGAAGAATTCATTGGCATAAGTAAATAAAAAATCAAACGACTGAGTTATTTAGGACTCTACAAATGTGCATTTATTTTCCTGGAGGCAAACCCACATAACTAATCTAATAAGCATTAAAGTCATAAGCAGTGAAGTGTTTTATATGCTAATATAGTTCACTCTCTCCTAGACACCAGTTAAAACTGATTCCATTAAAATGAGTTTGCATAATTGAGCTTCTGAAAACTGTAAAGGGCCAATTTTCAGAAAACGGTGTCATTTGTGCCTAAAAACTGTGAACTTATTTTTTAGCATTTTTTTTTTGTTTTTGCATGTATTTTCCCACCCTTAGATTCAAAGTACCAGGGCTATAAATGCCATAGACATTGGGGGAATTTTTTTTGACAATTTTTTTTTATTTTTTATTTTTTATACTTCATTAGAATTTCAACAGTAGTTAAAAGTAGTTTTATTCGATATATTAAGTTCATATTTCTTTATTGTACTAAAAGCTGTGTAACAATTGATTATAACAAATGTATATTTACATAAATGACACAAGTTTCAATAAAATGGCATTAAAGTGTGTTTTAGTTTACTTTAGAAGTAATTATGAAATAAATACAAAAATACAAAAATAAAAATAACTGGGTTAAAAACACTCATGTTCAACTAACTGCATTTCATATCAATTTAAACTATAATAAAGCTACATTTTCATTTAAATGTAACATACAATTTTGTCCAAAAACATTACATTTAATTTGCACTCTTTAAAGTATGTTATTTCCATAATATGTAATCTTTTAAAAAATAAGTGTGCTTCTTTTTCACAAGGGGAGCTAAAACGGAAAAAAGAGAGAATTCATTTTCAGCATTTTAAATTCTTGTAAACGTAGTCAGCCTTTCCTGATTTCTATGTTCAATAAGCATTGCTTTGTTGATGCTGTTGCTGAAAATCTCCAATAATACTATTAAAACGAAGACCAGAGGAGAAAGGAGATACATAAAGAATGAATGGCATGTCCTGAGAGAGCCTCAACCACTCTGTGCCCTATACTCATGAAAAGCCCTGCACTATTTCCATGATTATAATGGATGGTGAGCACTATGTTACAGTGGATTGAATTACACTTAAAGCATGTGGGTGGCGGCTTTAGCCACATGTGCTCTGAGATTCTGACGGGTTACACTAGGGTCCTCTTTCACCCAGCTTCATGCGGGGCTAGTTTCGTGAGTGCCCCAGATTGTACTAGTAAACTCGGGCCCCCTGCCATCACATGGATCCTGTTTTGAGAAACATCCCTCAGATGCAGTTATGCACAAAGCTCCGCCCACCACTCAGTTGTTGAGCCCGCCCTCTTACGTTGATTGGAGGAATAATGCAGATTGCCTCCCACCCAGTGGCTCTGATTGGGTGGGAGGCGGAGTCATGAAAGGCCAGAGTGCCCACAACCCGCCTCCTGTTCCACACACAATAACACTGCTTATGTTTTGCAAGAATTTTACATTGGCATTGCTTGAATGTCCTTTGTCTGCCTTCCCCTCTGAAGCCTCTCAGAAGAAGGAGAAAAGTGAAGAGGTGAACAGGCTAAACTCTAGCACAGAGAGGACACAATAGCAGACTTGTGATGTTTAAGGTAAGATACAGCCCTAAAATATCAAATTTAGTGTGAATATTTAAACAACTCATTAGAGAAGTAATGTCATAGAGCTTGAGCAAATCTCTAAGGATATCTTTAAACTCTGGGTGCCCAGGCATTTGTTTTTTTCTACTGTGTTAGAATATTGCAAAAAAGTGTTTTAGTGTAATCTGGGTGTCAATTTGCTTCCATATGATACGTCATTTGTTTATTTTGGACAAACAAATTCTCAGGAAGTCCATTTTTTGGGGGTGTCTCAAATGAGATTCAAAGACTTTCCTCTGATGTAATGACTGGGTCAGTTAAACAATCGAGAGATGTCCTGAACTGCGTAGTTTTTGTGACAGGAGCCAATGGACAGGAGGTTTCAAATGGTGACTTTAGAAGACTCTTTTTGAATGTTTCTCAGGCACCAAGTGCTCAATGTTTCACATGTGTTTGATTATACAGTGAGTCAGAATTTACTTTGCTGCACACATGTCTTCTCATGTAACTGGTGTGCGTGCACATATTGCTGTTGGCAGAGAGCCAAGATTGTCGGCATGGTCCAAATACTGTGGACATGGAAAAAATCCCACAGAGGAAGAGATGGAACAACACTCTAAGGATAAGAACGTGTGTGTAGACGGATAGTAGATAGACAGATAGTCACAGCAGTCATTCTGAAAAGTCCAGTAGCAGAGACTCTCCAACACCCCCTCTCTCCATAAAGTCAAAGGGTGATGGGGGTCAGAGAGCAGGAGAACCAATCTTTGGCTTTAGTCCTCCAGCCAGCTCCAAACGGAGGAGAAAGAATGAGGATCTGAGCCAAGGAAACCACACCGCTTACAGGGCCAAACAGGAAGAGTAAAACGTCTTTCTATTGTGTGTTAAAAATGTGAGTGAGTGAGAAAGTGTGCAGAACCAGCAGTCTGTTTTATGTGACATTGAATCAGGTCTACTTGCGCTGTTAAATGTGCATGTCAAAACAAAGCTAGCATAACATATGTTATTCAGAGATAAAAGAGAGAACAGGAGAGACACATTTTAGTGATAGCACAATTAGGAGAGATATGAAAAGACTCACTTAGAAAAACCACACAGTCATTGTGCAGCAAAGTTACCTTGTATATGACTAAACTAAAAAAACAACAACTTCCAGTTGTAGCAGACTAGTTTGAAACTCTCTAAAATGTTTGTTCCTCTCAAGTTTCCAGTTTGGTCTTATTTTCCATCCTCCGAACCTGACCTAAAACCTGAAATTGTCCGCTCCGTTCAGAGTACACAGAGTTTCAAATTTTGTTCTTACAGCGGTAGCAGTTTTTAAGTCGTCATGAGTTTCAGTCCAATTTGTGGTGTAAGAAAGAATGCAGTGGAGAGAAATACATTTAATGAGAGGAGGGATTTTTTCCCCCTTAGTGCTGCAAAAAAGAAAAGGGAACAATAATCATTACTGTGAAATGGAGTGTGCCTTACTCAGTGAACACAGACTACATTGTGAAAGTGACCAAATAAATCCTAAATCTTCTACAATGTCTGAATAAAGACTTCATATTAAAGTTGTCTGTAGAAGCAATTAACAGCACTCATAATGCTTTAGTATTTATATTACAGCTAATAATGGTGTAAATTAATTTTCAGCATTAGGACAGATATACACTCTTCAAGTACTCAAGGAGGCTTAAACATCAAATTCTGTGCCATTATACTGCATGTGGCACTTTCAGGTAGCTAGTTTTAAACATGTCAACAGTGTAACTTTCTTTAACTAAACTAGCAATTTTCAAACTGATGCTCCACCTAATTGTTGACCTGAAAGAGAAAACTGAGTGTAGAAGACCGTTTAAAGCAAAGCCACCTGTGTCTCTTGCGATAAAGGTGAGATTCAAGCTTATGTAGCTGGAAACGTGTGTTCACATACTAGCATAGAGTAAATTTCAGCATATGTCGTGTCAGCATATGAGAGAGGTGACAATGGGGTCATGTCAGTCAATGTGTGTCTACTTGTTCATGTTAAACATGTGCTCTACCAACACTGTTTACGTGTACCTACACAACAGGGGTGTTCAATCCTGCTTCTGGAGGGCCACTTTCCTGCAGAGTTTACCTCCAACCCACCTGCCTGGAAGTTTCTAGTGATCCTGAAGACCGGTTTAGGTGTGTTTAATTAGGGCTAGAGCTAAACTAGAGCTAAGTTAGATTAGATACCCTCTTGTTCAGTGGCTATTTATGGACCTTCAGGATACAGGAAACATTTGTCAGGATATTTTCTATAAGTGTGTTTCGGACAAGAATCCTGCAGCCCCATTTTCCTATCAGCATAACACTATATCAGCAATGTATTTTTTGTCTGACATGGCCCATATACCTCAACTTTTATATCAGTACTTTAAGATCAGCCTACCTTAGCATAGCCAGGTTCTGAGGTATGTCATAACCAAAAAAGGTCAGCCCCCATTTGTGTGTTTGTCCGGCCGATCTCTACTGATAGAGTAGACAGGTATGAAAGAAGGGCTGCTGCAATTTTTGATAAGATGGATTTTTCCTACCAGTGTGAGCGATGCCAAGGTGTGCATCTGTGGTTGTCTGTGTGTATGCGAGTCAGTGGAAGTGTTTGGTCTCAGCTATTTGTGTGTTTACTGCATAGCTCACATTGTTTGGGCTGTGGCTGCTTCTGTGGTGCCTTGAAAGTGCTGCGTGGTCAAATAGAGGTAGAGAGAGAGAGATGGGGAGGGATAGAGAGAAAGAGAAGAAAGAGTCTGGCTCTGTAAATCTGCAAAATACTCATGCACAAACTTCTTTGATCTCAACTTGTGTTCACAGCATTCAGAAGTGCTTGATTCTGTTTCACTTAACACTTAACAGCAACGTCTTTTTGTCCTCAGGTGGCAGGAAACAAACTAAAAACCACATGAAGCTGAAAACAGACTTATGCTAAGAACAATGGAAGCCAAAAAAGGTATGAATCACACCGTTTTGTTTAGGAACATGTGGTACTGCAGTTCCAGTGGTCTAAATACATTTGGACTGTTTTGTATACTGTGCATCACTTCTGCAACTCACCCTTGTGTTTTTCCTTTAGAGAACGGCATCTCTCCAAAAGAGAATTGGAGCCAAAGAAGGCCACCCTCCTATTCTGTAGAGACACCCTATGGATTCCATCTGGACCTGGACTTTCTCAAGTATGTCGATGACATTGAGAAGGGTAACACCATTAGGAGGGTGCCAATGCAGAGAAGGCAAAGAGTACAAAATAATGGTGTCCTGTCACGTAACTTAAGCCTTCCGGGTTATGGATGCAGAGCTACAGAATGGAACTCAGTCAGCACTTTTTGGCCCAAAACCAAACTAGGAGACTCTCAACAACATTTCAAGTTTCGATCTAGTGACAGTGTGTCTGCTGGCTATGTCAGGAGCGGAGAACCTATCTACAAGTCCTTCACATCTGCAGAGATGGAGGCTTTTGATGAGCAGCCCTTAGGACGTTACGTCAGGCCAAATCTCTTGAGAGCCTCCAGTTTACCCTTGACCGTTTTATTGAGAAAACACTCTGAGTCAACCGAGGATCCAACCAGCCCCAGCAGCCCCAAGGAATATCTAATGCAAGAAAACGGCTCCTCTGAAGATGTATTCCACGCTTCAGACAGCAGGATAGGTAGACCAAACGGGACCCTCCAGCGGCTCACTGCTGCTCTTGAACGAGTTGGGGAATTGGAAGAGGAGATCAGAGTCATTCCTGAGCTCAAGGCGCAGATATGTATTATGCAGGAGGAGCGAGAGAGACTTTTACTCCAGTTACATTCCCAAAACAAAACCACCGGGCCACAGGATGTTCTTACTGCTCCTCTACACATAAATAACTGGGACACTCCTTCATCTGCCAGAGAAAATCAAGACAAAGCAAGTGATGACTGGATGAATCGAGAATATGACCAGCTAGAGGAAAATGTCAAGGCTTCTTCTGAACAAGTTGATGCAGTTGCAATGACTTCAGCTACTGAAAGAATCCTTCCAGAGATTGAAAGACGTAAGACGGTCTCGCGAGAAAGAGATCTCTTGGATAATGGAGACAAAACTAAGTCTCTCACTGAAACTCTCCAGAGGAAAGTTGTTTTGCTGGAACAGAAACTGCATGAACTGGAGGTAGAGCTGGACAAGACCAGAGCTTTGCTGAAGCAGCAAGTAGAGGAGAGTCTTCTCAAGGATGACAAGATCACGCAGTTGACCGTACAGCTTGAAATGGGGCGTACACTGGCCAAGGTGATTTCATCTGAGAGCTCCTTAGTAAGTACACAAAGTCTTGAACCTGTGGTAGAACTGCAGGAAAGTGGGCAAAAGATGCCAACAGAGGAGGGAACCGCCCCTCAAGTTCTGGATCAACCTTCAGTATCACATGCAGACATGGAGCCCCATGTGAAAAGATTACAAGAGCTCCTTCAGGAGCAGTGGGAATGCCTTTGCAAAGATGACTCATCAGGGAAAATGTCTTCAGATCACTTGCCTCCACGTGTCTGCACTATTCAAGAGCAGTTAACAACTTTAGTCACCCTTCTTACCCTGTATGTGTTTCCTACTGGTGATGCTTCACAACCAGGTATGACTCTGCACTCAATTGCACCTTTAGGGGTACAACAGCTTATCACTGGGGTACCCTCAAAGGGTACTAATATGAACCCTCTATGGCAGGGTCTCCAACCTTGCTAATGGAGAGCTACCATCCTGCAGATTTGAGCTCCAACTCCAATCAAACATACCTGATCCAGCTAATCAAGGTGTTCAGGGCTACTCGATAATTACAGACAGGTGTGTTGGAGCAGGGTTGGAACTGAAGTCTGCAGGACGTTAGCTCTCCAGGAGCAGGGTTGGAGATCCCTCCCTACTTTAGGGGTTGTTAAACTAAAATGTTTATTTTTTGAGGATACTGTCCAAGTTACAAGCTATTCTACAAGTGCTATTTCTTCTACTGACATTGTATGATGTAAATGTGTATGATGGTCTTTTGTGGCTTTTCTGTGAATTGCAAGACTATAAAATGATGGAAATTCTTCCTGAAGTAGGAGAGAACCCCAAGACAGAACATCTGAAGACAATCAGCATAAGAGACAGGTAAATATATCACCACTATGGGCAATTTTATGTTAAACAGTACTAATGGTCTTGGAATATAACGTTTTTTTTGTATAGTCATACACAATGACTTCAGACTAATCCACTAAAACAGTGACTTCAGATTGAGAATACTAATACTCTTTCACCTTCAACATTCTGAAGTGGGAGCGTGGAGACAGAGGGAATAAGTAATGCTATCAAACTAGAAGAGCATGCAGAAGTGGATGTTGGCCTTAAGAAGAATACGACTAAAGAAGAAGGCAAATTATGGACCACATGGACAACAGATTCCAGCGTACAAACACACAAAAGTAAAAATGCAGAATTCAGTCCAAAAGAAGATGCCATAGATGTAGAGACCACAAAACAAGAATATCTGCACAAGAAAACAAGTCAGGCAAGAGCTCTAGAGGATCAAACAGAGGAAGAGAAGAAGGATTGCATTTCTTTTAGCGTGGACTCAGATCAGAAATCCCAGACAATGAAGGAAAACAGGTGAGATGATTTCATCTTTAGGTTTCTTTTAAATGTTTAAATTTTAAACTTTGAAATTCTTACATTTCTTTTACATTTTAAACACTATTGGAAACCACCTGTTTCTCCCCCCCAGGGAAGCTGTTGATAAGGATTTCATAGAGGCATGTTATTTCCTGAGAGACCACATGGATAAAGTGTCAGAGCCTGATGATGAAATGGTAATATTCAACTTAACTAGTTTATACAGTGTGTAATACTCCCTGCTTGTCTATTTTAGGCAGTGGTGTGTACTAGTTTGAAGCTAGTGACCAAAAGGTTGCTGGTCCAATCCCTGCAGGTAATGAGACATGAACCATCACCAATGAACCCTTCAGCAAGACATATAGGGCCAGATTTACTAATCAGGGCAAACTGGCATGAGACCGGAATCCCATAAAAGTGCCTATAGGAGTGTAAAGTTCTGTTGGTGATCTACTGACAATGAGCAAATTAAAGAACATAAACAAATCCATATAATTTCCATCATGCAATCTACCAAGAGCAGCACAAATTAGAAACTATCGCAGCCATTTCAAGCACAGATTAAGGATTAAGGCATGCTTTTTTAGCATTAAATAATTCCACAAATGCCAGTAAATTGACTTGCGCAAAACTTAGTAAATCACATTGCATGATTCATTTAAATACTCTCCTCCCATAAATTTTACTTCTGAAAAAGAAACTCTTACAAATGCATATGCAACAAGGTTGGTTGTAAAAACTGTGTCCATGCTATGCTATGTCCACACCTTTTCATCAATAATCTGTCAGTGTCATTAGTAAATCCTGACAGCATGTTTTAATGCCAAAAGAAGGTTTGCGCTGGTGCAAGAGCTTTGAGTAAATCTGGCCCTTAATCTCAGGTACCTCCAGGCAGATTGTCACTGTAGTAAGTGAACTGTTAGTTGCTGCACTTTGGAGACAAGCACCTGCTAAATGACTATTTGCTTCCTCTGCCAAGTCTGACTCTGCCAGATAATGAGTTACCACAGTACTATGCAGAGGAAAAGTAATCTGTTGTTTTCTGTTGAGTTGTAACTCCACTATTGGTCTCGTTTGCTGATTTACAGAGCCAGGCTCTCACTGTGATGTTCCAGCAGTGGTTTCACATCTCTGCTGAGGAGGGAGCATGTGCTGACACTGTTGCTGTGTATCTCAACGAGGTTAACTCACAAACACCTACAGTCCTTCAGTTCCTGGTCAACATGGCGGATGATAATGGGAACACTGCTTTGCATTATAGCGTGTCACATTGTAACTTCAGCATCGTTAAGCTCCTTTTAGACACAGGTCAGTGATGATATACTTTTTAATTTCATTTTCTCTTATTTTTAACTGCTCGAAAAGAAGTTTTAAAACAGGTCTTTAATTATGGTGTGGGAAATTACATTATAAAATCTTTGATTTCTTTGAGGCTAATGAAAGCAAAACGCATACTTCAATGGGAAGAGTAACAGTCACGTTTCTCACTGTGATTGCAATATATAACTATTCCAAAACCTAGCTAAAGTAGCGGCCTACCTAGACAGCATTTTATCCCTTCATTTAAAGGGTTAGTTCACCCAAAAATGAAAATTCTGTCATTATTTACTCACCCTCATATCGTTCTAAACCAGTAAGACCTTCGTTCATCTTCGGAACACAAATTAAGATGTTTTTTTATGAAATCCGAGAGCTTTCTGACCCTTCATAGACAGCAATGGAACTGACACGTTCAAGGCCCAGAAAGGTAGTAAGGACATCATTAAAATAGTCCATGTGACATCCGTGACATGAACTAAGAGAGATGGACGTTGGTCTGTGTAAGTTTTGATAGTTTGTTTTTCAAATTTTAAATGAAATAAGCAGAAACGAGAAAAACGGTCATTTTTTAGTTTTTCATTTGTTAAAAAAAAAGAAGAAAAAAAAAAAGATTTTTGGCTCGATTTTAGTTTTTTTGGTTCACGAGTAGAAAACTGATCGACTTCAAAATTCGTTTTCCCTTTGTGGGCGTCATGACACGCCCCTTTCCGCCGATTGGTCAACCAAATCTGAGCCAGTGACGTCATCCTCCGTTCTTTCAGCAAAATAATAGTCTGCTGCTGTATGGGGCAGGTCCTAGATTGGGCTTTCTTCTGTGAAACCTAACGCGTTTCGCAGAAATATTTATTTCAGAAATTTTAATCAGCACCCAGCCTGTTTTATTTAGCTGTGCGGGTAGTTAAATCTGTATGGTAAAGCTGCGCTTACCCGTAGACAGCGCAGAATGGATGGAGAAGCACAGATTAAAAAAAAAATTATAATAATAAAAAAAATAGATGTAGGGGGGTCCCCCAGATATTTTTTTTGTAAAAAATAATGATGACAAATCTGATTAAGCTCATGCAGTTAGGATACGGTACATTACCTACATTACCATATTTTTGCTCATTATGATTTTTTTCCGTCGATACAGGAACGCGCGTGAACCACAAAACCTATTTTACCCAATAAATATATAGCTTCAAATACATCGCGTAGTAATTAATGACAGTATTTTCATTTTTGGGTGAAGTAACCCTTTAAATTAGTACTGACAAGTATTAATAGAGTGGTGCAGGAATGTGTCATAAAACCCATTTTTTGCAATTACATCGGCCTGAAGACAATGGATTTTTTTAATGTTTTTTTTTTTTAGTTAAATACCTGAAATAAGGTCCGTGGTTAACAAAAGCTTGAATGTTTTCATGTTTTATTCTAAGACATCAAATATTTCAGTAACACCCCCATTTTTAAAGCTTTTAACACCTCTTGAAAAAGTTGGTCGCTAACAAGTGGCTAAATGGAGCTACAGAAGTACTCAAACTTTCCAACTAATCTTGGACAATGGATTGTGTGTGTGTGCTATATCTTTTTATGCTTTGAATATAGCATGGTTAGCTTAGCAACATGCTAACATCCAATTCTTAATAAATCAGTCGTCATTTGTGTCTCTTTTCTGCTTCTTGTGAGTACTGCTATATTTTTAGTGTGGCGCACATGTTGCTGCCTAAATAGAGTGTTCCAAATCTGTCACTTGTGGAGTTCCATTTAATTTGGGATGCTGCCGTAGAAGGTGGTAGACAGGAGGATGGCAGCTCACTAGGACTTGAAAAAGAGCTATTTTGTCCAAATACAGCTTTCTTTGAACATTGACCTTGAGGTTGCCCTGCTTCAGGTTTAATTTTTAGCATCCTTTGCGTTTTCAGGGATTCAAAAAAAATTGTGCTTGCTTTCCCTTAACCTTAGGTTTATGTGACGTGGACCTGAGAAACAAGTCTGGCTACACTGCTATCATGCTGGCCTCCTTGACAGCTGTAGAATCACCAGGAGACATGAAAGTGGTCCAGCAGCTGATGGAGCTTGGTGACGTCAACACCTGTGTTGGCCAGGTGATGGGAGGCATCAGCCAATTGGCTCAGTGTACACCTTACATCAAAATGATTTATTTGAAATGGACCGCTGATTTGCATAAGATCTGGCATGTTCTGTAATGTTTCAGAAGATGGATGCGTTTCTGTTCTAAATAAATGTGTCTTTAGGTGGGACAAACGTCTCTTCACTTAGCAGTAAGACATGGACGTGTCCCAATGGTGCGTCTCCTGCTAGAACAGGGAGCGGATCCTGATGCCCAGGATCATGCAGGAACCACGCCACTGATCAGCGCCTGTGATCGGGGACACGTCAGTATTGTACGAATTTTGTTAGAGGAAGCGAACTGCGATGTCAATTTAAAAGACAAGGTAATTTCTTGTGCATGTTTGTCCAAACCTTAACAGAAAACAAAAACACCAAACCACATGTTTATCCAACAGTATATTTTACAGCTCCAATAACACATGTTTATACAGAAGATTTCCGTAGGGTTTAAAAGCAGAAATGTGCTTTTTGTTGAAATGTAAAATGAAATGTACAAAATATGTCCATGATTTAACTGAAATAAGGGAACAAATCAATAAATTGTGCCCACAATTTACAAAGCTGTGAGCACAATTTGGTAATTTGTGGCCACAATATCTTCTTTTTTTTTCTTTTTCCAAATGTCAATTGAGGGACTATTTAGGCAACATCCAATCAAAATGTGCAAAGATTTGAATAATTTTATACAATAACTTAATTTATGGATAAAATTAATTGGATAAGAAAAATAGCTTTTCTTTTTTTTAAATGCTTATTACATTATTATTTTTAGTCTACAGTTTTATAGAAAGTTTTGAAAGTATTATATATTTTACATAATATTTACACATACATTAGATCTTTATCACTCTAAAAAATGCTGGGTTAAATATAACCCAGCGCTGGGTTAAAAAGGGACAAACCCAGCTATTGGGTTGTTTTGACCCAGCTATTGTCAGTACAATGTTTTAATGTTTTGAATGAAGACTCTTATGCTCATCAAGGCTGCATTTATTTATATAAAAATACTGTAAAAAAAACAGTAATACTGTAAAATATAATTTCAATTTTTAAATAACCATTTACTCTTTTAACATATTTTAAAATGTAATTTATTCCTATGATGGAAAGCTGAATGTGTCAGCATCATTACTCCAGTCTTCAGTGTCACATGATCCTTCAGAAATCATTCTAATAATACATAATTTGTTTGTTTGTGCATGTATAGTACATATATCATAGTATTTATTATGCATTTACAATGAATAAGATATTTCGATGTAAAATCACGAATTATAATCTAAATGTTCACACTTTGTTAGTCACCTAGCAAAATATCAGCCTATCCAATTTATTTTCTAAATTGAAAGTGGCGCAGATAAGAATTGAAAATGTCATACAAAGAAAAAAAAACACTGATGCACATTTAACACTGATGAGAATGTAGTCCCTGACTAGCCTTGTAGCACTATGATAAAGACAAGACTATATCCACATGCTTTTAAGATCTTTGTAGATGTCATGTATCATATTCATACATCTCTGTTTTGTCTCTAGGGCGGTCGCAGTGCGTTATCTCTGGCGACACAGGCCTCTCACACAGAGATAGCAGACCTCCTGAAAGCCCGCACGGAAAGCAAGAGCACAGACAAATGCAAGGTCTCTTAGAACGGAGCTTGGACATCTCTGTCATTTATACTTCAATAATCATTCATGTACAGTTACTACTAAGAATATCAGCAATAAAATGTCAATATTATCATTTAATAGTCAAGAAGACAGTAGTTTGCTAATGTAAAACTTGTCAATGTAAATATAACTGACAATGACAGCTAAATGTGCATCTTTCCTATAAATCCCCCCCCAAAATATTTTGTAACCAACCCAGTTTCATTCTGAGTCATCTTGTCAATAAATTAAACTATTCTATAAAACTAGTCCAAATCTGCACACAATCTGCATATCCACTGAATGCCACACAAATCTTCGGACATCTTCAAAGCAGCATGATTTGCTTATCTAGAGGATTCATTTCAGTACGGTAAATCATCCCTTACCATGGACGTCTAAATATACATAAAGTCACTGTGGAAAAGGTAAGCATATAGTGGGCAAAAGCTGTTACATTTTTTACTGTAGCAACATGATTCCTGAGGCGATCCAGCCAGACAGTGTCCTAGAATGGACGCCTCAACACCATATGTCTTGTTTGAGAAAGAATAGTTTCTTAAATTAAACATAGGATTGAAGAAACGTAAAGATGTTACTGGCAGAGTTTTAAAGAAAGCTTCAATCCCGAATAGTCCCAACAAATAAGTCACACTTGCAGGTAAATATCAACAAGAATATGTGATCTGCATTAAACAGGATCTATTATGCCCCTTTTTACAAGATGTAATACAAGTCTCAGGTCCCCAGAATGTGTCTGTGAAGTTTCAGCTCAAAATACCCCCCATATAATTTATTACACCATGCTGAAAATGACATTTTTTTTGAGTGGAAGCAAATCGTGCCGTCTTCCTGCATGTATCTTTAAATGCAAATGAGCTGCTGCTGATTTCTAGAATTTCCCCCCTTTTCTAGAAGAGGGCTGCGACTTTACATCTCGTGCCTGGTATACTCTGCCAAAACAACACAACTGTTTGGTTTTGATTATCATGTCTGTCATAGTCACGCTCACGTGACATTGCAGTTCTTTGTCATCATGAAAGTTTATTATTTGTATGCATTTTATAGGTATGTAATTTAATTAACACTCAATCTCCACACACCTGTAGGCAATTGATAGGTGCGTAGGAAACAGAGACCACAAAAAAGATGTGGGAAAGTCATGGCCTAATGGTTAGGGAGTCGGACTCGTAACCCAAAGGTTGTGGGTTCGAGTCTCGTACCGGCAGGGGTTGTAGGTGGGGGGGGTGAATGTACAGCGCTCTCTCCCACCTTCAATACCACGCAAAAATGGCTGCCCACTGCTCTGGGTGTGTGCTCATGGTGTGTGTGTGTGTTCACTGCTGTGTGTGTGCACTTTGGATGGGATAATGGGCACGGGCGATCTGGGCAGCCGCCCGGGGCGGCATTTTTTCATGATACATGGGGGGCGGCACGAGCAGTTAAAAAAATAATAATAAATCCTCTGCGCCGCCGCTGCGAAGCGGTTTTCTATTATCTATCTGTGTTTCAGGAACACAGAATGATCAAGTGTTTGTATTAAATAACATTCACAAACATTAATGAATGTTTTAAAAATATATTGTTCACTCACTGTAAGATGTTACTAGATCTAACATTGTACATTAAAGTCTATACAGGAGATACAACTTGACTGTACTTTTATTTAATCCAAAATGTGTTCATATTTAATTTTAAAGGGCTTTTAAAACCTGCTAGAGATATTCAGCCAAGAATTACGACAAACTTTTTCTGACGGACTGATATGGCATAAACACTGTTAACCATACATTTGTACATTCTCTAACATGCATATTTTGGTTACACAGTTAATTTAAAAGCCTCTGGTGTGTAAAAATAGTAAATACCATTATGTCCTCCTGTTTTTTACAGTAATAAAAGTTATAGGAGCATTAAATAGTTAAAGAAATAATTTTGAACAAAATGAACAAAATTCATTCGAATCGAATCTAATCGTGAAATCAAAATCGTGAATCGAATCGAATCGTGAGTTGAGTGAATCGTTACATCCCTAGGACTAAGTAATCTCTGGGAAGAACCAGGAGTATCACTTTTCAAACGAGCATGTACCAAATAATCTTTTAAATTTCTTGAAAGTCTGTACACAATTAACGGAGGATGCTGGAAGATAGAACTCAACCCAGGGTCAGAGGATAACAAGTACCAATATTTTTTAAAAATCGATCTCATCAAAAAAGACTTAGAAGAATGAGTTGTAATAAAGGTCTTTCCAAAAAACACGTTCTGAGTTGTTAAAAAAGAAAACAAAAAAAGTAAAGAAATGTTCGTTTACCTTTACTTTTATTACAACTCATTCTTCTAAGTCTTTTTTGATGAGATCGATTTTTGAAAAATAGCCATGGAAAACAGCAAACAAACTGGGTCAGATATCGCAGATTCTACCCGACCTACAAAGGCCTTGGCATCCATCTAGAAAGCTCTATAACAAGAGGCATATTAAATCGAGGATAAATCAATTCAACAACTAAGACTTGTTGCCTTCCATTGTCAGTTGCGCTCATTCCTCTTGCATGACATGTCCTCAATCTGGCAACTCACGTGAGCGTCGAGTCTGAGGAGGATGGGCGGGAGAAACACGATTTTGAATTTGGACTGCAGTACCCATTTCAACCACTAGCTGTCAATATTAAATACTGCACCTTTAAAGGGATAGTTCACCCAAAAATGAAAATTCTGTCATTAATTACTCACCCTCATATCGTTCCAAACCCGTAAGACCTCCGTTCATCTTCGGAACACAAATTAAGATATTTTTGATGAAATGGGAGAGCTCTCAGACCCTGCATAGACAGCAACGCAACTGAAATGTTCCCAGGTCCAGAAACATAGTAAGGACATCGGTAAAACAGTCCATGTGACATCAGTGGCTCAACTTCAGTTTTGCGAAGCTACTTTTTGAGCACAAAGAAAACAAAAATAACAATTTTTTCAACAATTCTTCTCCCCCGAGTTACGTCTTCCGCCAATTTAGAGATTATCATAACACATACACACACTTTCCCCTAAGCGTAAACAACGCTGATTACGTTGATTACGCTCTTGGGTACTCTCCAAAATGGCGGGAGACGTTACTCGGGGGGGGAGAATTGTTAAATAAATTATGTTATTTTTGTTTTCTTTGCGCTATATGTATGTAATTTCTAACCAAAGCACAACAAAAGATAATTAAAACATAATGATTTAAAAACACTTTTAATTTGACATTATTACAAAGTGTGCTTTTTAGTAAATTTCTTACATTGTAACATTGAGAAATTACAATGTTGTGGTGCTAATTTGCAAGATGCAAGTCATTTAAATTGAGCAGGCGTGCAGATGGCACTAGGGACGGGGGGGACATGACCCCCCCAGATTCATAGTGACCCGATCCGTCCCCCTCACTGTCTCTACGAAAGGCATTTATTAATCAGGGTTTCCGCTATGCACATTAGCCTAAGTAGTGGCGGCCCGGCCTGCCACTCCTTAAACATGCACTAAGCGATTTTTGAAAAACGCTTTTGACCGCAGTGTCTGACCGAGTCCCAAAACAAACGTGTAGCCAATCAGCACGGAAGGGCTCGAATTGGACGCCAAGGTTGTGCTGTTTCTTTTTGATAGGTGAGTAACATTGACTTTGCTTTGTTTCACACAACTTATCCGTGTTGGCTTTTGTTTCCTTGGTCCCCACCAGTTAAAAAATTCCATCTGCGCCCCTGGGTCTGAGAGCTCTCACATTTTATCAAAAATATCTTAATTTGTGTTCCGAAGATGAACGAAGGTCTTACGGGTTTGGAACGACATGAGGGTGAGTAATTAATTATATTAGAGAATTTTCATTTTGGGGTGAACTAATCCCTTTAAAGCCATATCTGTTAAAATTTCTGATATACTGTTTTTTGAGTGCTTAGTACTGCTTACATCTGAAGCCAAAGTGCAGAAAGCCAGCTGTGAAATGGCACATGTCGCATGAGTACTAAACCAAGTTCTCTTTTGCATCTTATTGCACTTAAACTGTAAAGTACACAGAAGGATATGTCAAAAACACAGAAAGTTCACATAAACAGTCAGTTGTATGTCTGTGAACGTAAAAAGCTGGGAAAGAATTTGCATGTGGATATTTGATCTGTGTAATGTGTAAAGCAGCATAATACTGTCTATGTTGTTAATATATTAAACTAAAGAAAAAAAACAGAAAATCACTCACTGCTCTTGAACGAATAAGTTTAGTAGTAGGTTTATAAGAATACATTTCTTACTTGAATGCTGATTTTAAATGCTCCAGCGAGGAGATAAACATGGCGGACAGTGTACAGCTCTTTCAGGGGAGGAGCTAAGCAAATAAGTCAAAGATCATTACCAGTCGTGGGCGGGGCATGTACCGATGTGACGTCACATTGGAGTAGCCTAATACTTCCGATTTATGGGTGGAAATAACAAATGCAGTGGATGGATTTTTACCACAATTGGGTGGATGTGTACATTCACTGTGGACACATAATTAGTTCAAAAACAATATAAAAGTGAGTTTTGCATAATAGATCCCCTTTAAAACATGAATGTTGTTATGTGTACCAAAAATATTTAGTTTAATGAAACACCAAATGGCAGCAGATTTTTTATTCACTTTTATATCAATTTATAGAGAGACATATAAAGAGAAACATTTGAAATACAATGAGACCACTATGCCACAATAAAGTTTATGCAGTCAGAGATCAGACAGAATGAAATCAGATTGTTGGTAAAAATCACAAAACACAAAAAAAGCACAAAAAAAGAAAAACAAGTTTTGTGTTTGCAAAATATAGTGCAATAACAATGTAATTTAATTAAACTACTCAAAATATTCTATATTAAATCCTTAAAATGTAAAAATAAAGATCGAAATAAATTCAAAAAGTAAAAAAATACCAACAGCAAAAATTTATAATACCAACAGCACAGAAACACTTTGGCAGAATATATGATTTTACCATCAGAAAACAATGATCATATATTCCAAATAAATTAATTCATAGGCAATACTGTTATCTAAAATCTTATATACATTTTTACAAAGGTGTATCAAAAGTATTTGTATGAAAACATATTTACACATCGCATTCCGTAATCACATTACACACAGATTTAACTTTCACACCACAAATACATGCATTCTGAACGCACATATTAACATCCACACACACACACACACACACACACAGGATATTAATGCTCCCTCTCTTATGAGGGAGTCTTCATTTGAAATCCTAGAGCGATGCTCTTTAATATTAATGAGGTAACATCTGATCGCAGAATCTGTGAATGAACAGCTGGTCTTCCTGACCACCCAAATGAGAAAAAAAACTCCTTTTGTTTGACAATTTATTCAAAGGATAGGACACCAAAGACACCCTCATAATATAAAGTACAAGGGAAAAAAGCCTCAGCGAGTGAATCTCACGAAAAATGTTCAGGTCATATTTCACCCCAAAATCAAAATAAAGAAATAACAAAATGTATTTTGCATGAAAAAAAGAGCCTACTTTAAAGACCATTAAGATTTATTGTATTGTAAAATGTAAAAACATTTGGCCCTGGTATTTCTCACTCTCATGATTATCTTATTTTCTTACTATGGAAGCAGTGTAATTTTTTTTTTTTAATTTAGTAATATGTAAGTAAAATGTAATTATTTAAATGTATTAAAAATTACATTTCATGTTTATACATTATTTATACATTATTAAATAAAAAACAAACAAACAAACAAAATGTATATATATATATATACAGTTCAAAAGTTTGGGGACATTATGATTTTTTATTTCGACAGAAATGATTATGATTAAAAAACATAGGATTTCGTTTTGTATATTTATGTATCACTTTTTTCCACAAAAATATTAAGCAGCACAACGTAATTCAGAAACAATAAGAAATATGTCTTGAGCAGCAAATCAGCATATTTGAATCATTTCTGAAGGTCGGATCAAGTGACACTTAAGACTGCAGTAATGATGCTGAAAAATCAGCTTTGATCACAGAAATAATTTTCATTTCATAATATATTAAAATAGAAAACAGTTCTTTTAAATTGTAATATTACTTAACAATATTACAGTTTTTACTGTAAGTCTTGTCTTTCAACAGCTTTTAAAAAATCTTTTGAACAGTAGGCCTAGTGTGCATACATACAGTACATATTTCTTTGTGCAAAATATGATTTCTTTCTTTTCATTTTGGGGTGAAATGTGACTTTGGCATGTTTGGTAACCTGGACGACAAAAATCGGTCTCTGACCAAAGCCACTCTTTATGCATCACATCTTAGGTCGACCTATGCAAGTTGCATTTTATGCATTGTTACGCATTATTTCCCATTCCAATTATCATAACTAAGTGAAACCCTTCACCGCTCACACTCTCTAGTCTATACCATCTCCCTGAGACAAAACCAATCGTTCCCACAGCAGATGACAGAAGAATGCAGAGGTACCCCTTGTTAAAAACAACCGCACAAATAAATGTCCAGCATTTGGAATGTATGGCCTTTCAGAGCGTCTTTAAAGGTCGGTACATCTATTACAGTGAGGCATGAGCACTGAATCTGCTGAGAAGGCTGTCTGCACATATGCCAGTCCCAGACACTTTTTCCCCCAATGCTAACGTGATTCTAATGTGTTTAGACGTTAACATAGTGCTTATGTAACCTTTAGCTCGGCGCCTGTAGCTATGCTAGACCCTTGGGGCGACTATCAGCTAATGTTCTCCCCGTTTCTCCGCTCCGGAGATAAACAACAACATGAAAGAGAATGTACTGTAAGTGGGCGGCACGGCAAACCCGTTCAGCATGCGACAACTCCAATAACAGAAACAGACGTGTGAAACTGTGACATTTCATAAATTACCACTGGTTTACGCCTAGCGAAACGCAGCTCGGTGTGAACTGCAAGAGACCCCGCTGTGTAACGCACTCGCACTGACCCTCGTAACATCTATTCCGGCTCGGAGTGATTACGCTAGGGTTTGCTCCACTAGCCAGGGTACTCTGCCAATTTCAGTGTCTTGCCAAGTCGTAGCTGCAGTGCGGTGGAGCCCCACAGAGCCTCACCAGACAGTCGTGTGAATTCAAGGACAATGGCTTTTCATTTGCATGCGAGTGATGAATATACAATGTCTCTCTATGGAGTAAACACACCTATAAAAAGTGGATAATATTGATGAAACGGACAAAACATATCAAGTTTGGGAATATTTTTGTATTGATATCTTTCTTTGTTGGGTGCGTTCTAAGTGTAAACATCCTAGTATTAATTACTGTTAAAGTCAACATGAAACAACATTTGCAGCCCATTTTACTTTTATAATGCCATATTTCTAAATGAAATCTGAACATTTAATGAGGAAAAAAGGAGGGACTTGATTTTATGCATTGGGAATTGAATGGATCATGAAGAGCGGTCTCCATATTAAAGTTGTTAGTGACATTAGCCAAAAAATAAAAGTTGTTTCAGAATTCAGAATCAAGTTTTCTAATATTTTTTTTTCTTTGGAATCATATGCACAGATGAAACGCGTACTGTATGATCAAACATAGGAAAGTGAATAAGTCCTTTTTTTCATGTTAAAGGGTTAGTTCACCCAAAAATGAAAATTAGGCTGCGTTTTACTCACCCCCGAGGCATCTTAGGTGTATATGACTTTCTTCTTTCAGACGAATCCAGTCTGAGTTATATTAAAAATGGTCTTTGATCTTTCAAGCTCTATCATTGCAGTAAGTGGGTGTTGCATTGCTTCAGTCCAAAAGAACTTAAATAAAAAGCGCCCATCCATAAAAAAAGCGTCTCACACGGCTCCGGGGGGTGAACAAAGGCCTCCTGTAGCGAATCGGTGCGTTGTGATTATTACGTTTTGAATATGGATATTTTTCTTACAAAAACGCATTGATTCGCTACAGGAGGCCTTTGTTCACCCCCCGGAGTCGTGTGAGACACTGTTTTTTATGGATGGGCGCTTTTTATTTAACTTCTGTTGGACTGAAGCAATGCAACACCCGCTGACTACAATGATAGAGCTTGAAAGATCAAAGACATTTTTTAATATAACTCCGACTGGATTCGTCTGAAAGAAGAAAGTCATATACACCTAGGATGCCTCGGGGGTGAGTAAAACGCAGCCTAATTTTCATTTTTGGATGAACTATCCAATTATTATGTCTGTAATAGGTCAAAGATTATTAAAATAAAAGAGTTATACTGTATAATATGATACAGGTAAACAATTTTAGAAATGTGGCTCACTGTTTATACATTTTATTATTATTAAACAATTCTAAAAAAAAAAGTCATTACACCAAGTAGTGTTAAAATTGCTTGTTTGCCCTCGAGCCATCAAAGATCTACATTAGGAAGTGTTATTTCTGTAATTGCGTCTAATTTTTTTTGTTAAGCCTATTAAAAGGTACTTTATGATGTAATACATTGTAAATTGCAATCTAATTAATTGGTTAATTATGTAATTTTGGAAACTAAATGAAACACTGCCATGTTAGTAATAAGGATCAAAAACTGTTTCTCTCTTCAGCTTTAGTGCTGGACAGTTCTAGTCTAATAGACTAGATTCCATATTTATGTAGTAAATTCAATGCCAGTTACAGTGCTAGATTTGTCTAGAATTATAAGATAAATATAAATAATGCAGGTTTGAAAAGACTTGCCCTGGTGGTTCCAACCAGCAATAAAATGATGCTTAAAATGGACCTAAATGAATATGGGTCTGAAATGTCTAAACTTTTTGTTTAGTAATCAATCCAGCGTTTGCACTCCAGCGGACTTCAAAACCTGGGCATGTTAAGAATGATTCAGCTGGCTAAATGCCATTCAGTTCCTGCATAGCTTGGCAGCCACGTGTCAGTCCTGCTCCCTGCGGTCACAGTATTTCTAGAGTCGTCCTCCCCTTTCACTTAGTACTAGAGATGGTGGGCTGCTCTGTGTACCAGTGTGTGGCAGGGTCTGGTAAACCGGTCCCAAGAGGCAGAGCGATGAATGGTGGGCACGTCCCCGTACCGACTGGCGTCATGCCGACCACGGGCCCGGGGTAAGGGTGGTGATGGCCAGCGAGCCTGTCAGTCCGACCGATGTGAATCTCGTCCTCCTCTGTCTCTCCTGTGGTTTTGCGGTAGACAGGGTTGTCGAAGTTCATGCTTTTGGTGCTGTTCCTCCTCCAGTTGCGGTAAACGAGGTAAACGCCGGCACAAACCACTCCGAAGACCACTGTGGCAACAATAGGAACTGCATGTGTTTAACATACAGCCGTGAGGGGACATGTTAACACACGCTTGACTGGTGGTGGAATGACTGACAAGACAGCCAGTGTGACAAACAAAAACAGACAGACAGACAGACAGACAGACAGATAGATAGATAGATAGATAGATAGATAGTTAGTAGGGATGCACGATATTATCGGACCAATATCGGAATCGACCAATAATGGCTTTAAATGTAAATATCGGCATCGGCCCGATATGAAAAATTATGCCGATATGTCTTGCCGATAAGATGAATGCATTAACTCACATGTGCTCAGGGTGTGGTAGCGATTAGATCACGTCAGCATTGTGGCTCATTCTTGAAGCAAAGTTTTGCCTGAATGGTGATTGGATTCACTGTTTTGGATCACTGCATTTAAACTGAGAATGCATGTACAGAATGACGCGTTTGGTTTTATGATAGAGTAAACAGTAATAGCAGGTGCAGTGGCAGCAGCGGCAGCCTCCCCTGGGTCCTAATGCCCGCTCAGTAAGGAGTTTTAATTCCATAGGGGGCGCTGTTGGCCTACTTCTAATAAAATGAAAGCAAAATACACAAATAATATTTAGACTGTGTTTCTGATTAAATAAAGCAGTAATTAATGCCATAAAATCATGAGTATGTTTTGATTTAGAGGTCAGAAGCTATAGCTTACATGAAAAAACAAAAAAACACAAACACGACACTTAAATTAAATAATTTTATATATACTGATTTATTCATTATGTACTTCGCACACTGGATGAGAAGCGTTATTATAGGCTAATGCATTATAATTGTACCAAATCCTTGTTAATGTACTACATAAAGTCTGTAAGATTGTACATTTTACATCCTATTTTAATATTAGAAACAGTACTAATAATGCTAGTTAGATGCCAGGTATGTTATGAATTTTTTAAGCTAGGACTCTGGATAATTGATTTTTAGAAAAGAGATCACGGTTCTCCTACGATTCTGAAAACAAAACACTGACAACCAAACAAAATAATATGAGGTTCTGACAAAATGTTTTATTTCATGTTATGAGTCTATTTATAAATGTCTAAAATGGTATAAATTACTCTATTTAAAAATATTTATTATTTTAAATGAATTCACTATGTAAAATATAATTTGAAAAAATAAGTTTCGTCCAGAGTTTTTGATTCAGACATCAAATATTTTAACAGTCACTGGTCACCAACTGGCATAATGTAACATATACAATCTTTATTTAGTTCCAACTATTCCTTTTGATCGCGACTGCCGCAACAGAGTCTATATCCGGACTATAAACTTTTATCCCAATAAGTTACTTTTGTTATTATTTAATGTTTGCAACACAGAAATGTAGCCTAGCCTGCTGTGTAGACTGTTTGTGAAGCTGTTTCAAACATGAAGCTTACATGCTGAGCACTGCTCTCTCTGGATCAGCGGCTGTGCGAAAGCAGCTTTAAATATTCTGATATGATTGTGATTTCAAAGGTTTAATAGACATAGCGGAATCATTTAGGAATAAGATCGTGTGTGTTTGAACCGAGATCTCGATCTTGATTAATTGTGCATGCATATCAGCCTATAGCCTACGAATTTTCAAATGTCATATTTGTACCAGACCTCAAAAGTAACCTGGGCCCAGGCTCGGGCAGCCCCCCGCTTTCGCCACCCATGCACAAAACTATTACATAGCTTCAGAAGATTTGAAGTTTAGTGCATGAGTCAGATGAGACAGATCACTTTTATGGTGCTTTTTTGTTATTTTTATGCTCCTGTAGACTTCAGGTGCGGAAAAGAGCAGCATGAACATTCTACCTAACATCTTCTTTTGTGTTCCACAGAAGTCAGTCAGTCATACTGATTTGAAACAACAGAATTGTTATTGGTGAACTGCTCCTTTAAATTGGCTAGAAAAAGAGAACATGAGAATAGCAGATGAAAATTGAAACAGAGCAAAGAGGGTTGATAGGGAATGAAGAATAAGAAAGAAGGGCAAAGACTCCATACAAACTGAAACAGTTCATATCAATCAGAGGAAATTATTATATGGCTCTCAGAAATCTTTGAATGCTGATAAAAACCTAACCTAATAAAAATCAAATGAATCAAAACATCTGCTCTCTCTGCAATGCAGCAGGCTTGATTTTAGTCCGTTTTGTTGTATTACCAAGGGAATTTCTTTCTTGGCTCACAAACGCAATAGAGTAGAATGAATCTAAATTCATGCAGACAGCACACACACAAACTGCATCTCCATACAGCTGAGTCTGCTGCCCCAGCCTTGTAGTTACAGCATCGGTGAGCAACACTGGTGTCAAAATGCGCTCAAAATAGCACAGAGCAGGACCCTAGATGTACATACCTATGGGAATTACAACTCCAAGCACTGCCACTGTCAGATTACGGCCAAGGAGAAACAACTCATTGCCAGCTGGGGGAAAATAAAAGACACCTTCAGATACACAGTCACATTTGTTTAACATGTCAAGTCAAACATGTTGATGTAGCTGACTGACCCTTCACTAAGCCAACCAAAACAGAGTGACCAGTTGCAGCTTAGTGACTATTACTAGCGTTAGTGCAAGCTTTCAGGCTTTCTCAGTATGACCAAATGGATAAAAAGTTTGAAGGGAGGAGTAAAAGAGCATTCCAGTATAGGAACACTGTAGAAACACTGTACAACATTTTAAAATCCTGGCGAACTTTTGAAGCAAAGCCACATGAATTACCTACATGAGTTGTTTATAGGTTTTATCTTTATCTTAATGCATTTCTGATAGACAGCATTGATAATATCACAAATGGTTGAATTGTTAAATTCACACATATCACACGTTTTTACATTTGTATCACCTCTGCTATCATATAATGTTATTTCAGTTTAATTGAGATACTATTATAATTGTACTAATATTTTGAATTATAATTTGAAAAATATTTGTAAAAATCTGTCAGTTTTGTAGTGAAATACAAATGTACAAGTGTGGCTATTATTGGGTGGCTGGTGCACTACAAATCATGAATGCAGTTGAAGACGTGAAATATTATTTCCAAATATACTGTCAATGCGAGTATATGACACATGGTATGATTTCTGCTGGTAATCCCACATACAGTATACTCAAATCATTTCCGATGGCCTGGCACCTTCTCCCAGTGCTCCCAATCTGGGCCATTTGTACGCGCAATATAGGCTATACTCTCAAAATATTATAACTTTAATTGCTACGATTTAATACTCGCAAGTTTGACTTTATAATCACAATATTTTTACTTTATTCTCGTAATTTCGACTTTATTCTCAAAATATTTCGACTTTATTTTCATAATTTTGACTTTATTCTCAAAATAATTCGAACTCTATTCTTGATATATTTTGACTTTATTCTCGTAATTTTTACTTTATTCTTAAAATATTTCAACTTTATTCTTCTATAGCTTACATGGGGGAAAAAAAAAAAAACACAAACACGACACTTAAATTAAATAATTTTATATATACTGATTTATTCATTAATGTGTAATGTTATTTTTTAAACAAATTATGAGCTCTAAAAGATTTTCAGAATTTTTACACCTCTTTTGCTTTAGACCATTTACAAATGTTAAATCATAAAATAAAATGTTATGGTTACCACTGCATCTTTCTGAAAAAGAAAAAAAAAATGTAGTGATTAATATATAGTTTATTTATAGTTATTTTCAAATCTTCAATGTACTGTCATTATAAAATAACTTTATTATTGTTTATTTAATTCTAACAAATAAGTTCTTGATAAAAACTAACCAAAATGAAAAATAATTATATATCGGTATCGGCCAAAATGAGTTGAAAATTATCAGCATATCGGATATCGCCAAAAATCCAATATCATGCATCCCTGATAGATAGATAGATAGATAGATAGATAGATAGAGAATGGAATGGAATGGGGAGGCAAACAAGTGTAGAATTAAAGTAAGAGTTCACACAAAAATAAAAATTTTGTCCTTTACTTACCCTTAGGTTGTTTTAAACTCTTCCGTGGAACAAAAAATGAGAAGTTTAGTGTAATGTTCATGCTGCCCTATTACTCACACAAAACCTTGGATCGCAGAATGGACCAAAAGAAAGAATGCAGTTGAAGACGTGAAATATTATTTCCAAATATACTGTCAATGCGAGTATATGACACATGGTATGATTTCTGCTGGTAATCCCACATACAGTATATTCAAATCATTTCCGATGGCCTGGCACCTTCTCCCAGTGCTCCCAATCTGGGCCATTTGTACGCGCAATATAGGCTATACTCTCAAAATATTATAACTTTAATTGCTACGATTTAATACTCGCAAGTTTGACTTTATAATCACAATATTTTTACTTTATTCTCGTAATTTCGACTTTATTCTCAAAATATTTCGACTTTATTTTCATAATTTTGACTTTATTCTCAAAATAATTCGAACTCTATTCTTGATATATTTTGACTTTATTCTCGTAATTTTTACTTTATTCTTAAAATATTTCAACTTTATTCTTGTATTGCTATGACTTTATTCTCATAATTGTTACTTTTTCTCAAAATATTAAGACTTTAATCTCATAATCTTAGATTTTTTTTTTTTTTTAGTTTTTAACGTGGCACTAAAACGCGTCGTAGTATCCCTTTTTTTTTTTTTTTTTCTGAATGGCCCGGGAGCATCGGGTCCGTGTGAGGATGCGAGTCGCCGGCTCTTGATTCACTCAGTGGCCTGTCGTGGAGTGACTGGAGGCTTCGACCCTGATGTCAAGCTCTCAGTAGGGCTGTAACCGTCACCACCCTCGGCGTGAGAGGAAGTAGATTCAAGAGCTCTGAAGCAATGAAGGAAGTGTTGAGATGGCAACTCAGCTGGGCGTTAAACCACCCAGAATCACGGCGTCTCTAGTGAACATTCACTTAAAAGTCATCGTGTAACACCCTAAAACATAACATAGAGTTCCACAAAAACATTTCATTAGATAACCTGTATTTTAGTGTTATTTCTATACTATTATAGCATTTATTCATATTTTGAAAAAAAAATATATTTTTATCTTTTCAGTTTTTATTTTAATTTTAGGTTAAGGTTTAGTCATTTTGTTGTGTGATTTTGTTGTTTTTATTATGTGTATATATATATTTTTTAATTATTCATGTTTTCTGTGTATGTAATATTTATATGTTATTTTATTTCAGCTTCATTTCAATTAATGAAAATGGTTATTAATAGTATTAGACCTAGTTTGAGTTTTTAAGTTTGAGTTTTTCAGATAATATTTGTATTTTATTTCAGCTTTATTTTAAATTAATGAAAACAATTAGTAATAGTATTAGTCCTAGTTTTAGTTTTTAAAGTTTTTCTGGTAATTGTTATATTTTATATTATTTCAGCTTTATTTCACTTAATGAAAATGATTTTTAATAGTTTTTTAAGTGTGTTTTTCGGGTAAAATACATATTGTTTTATTTTATTTCAATTTTGTTCAAATTTATAAAAAATTATATTTAATTGTATTTTTTCCTAGTTTCATTTTCCTAGTTTCAAGTTTTTAATTTATATTTATATTTTATTTTATTTCAGTTAATTTCAGTTTTTTAACAGTAGTTATAACAGTAGTAATACGTTTTTCAGGTAATGTTTTATTTCAGCTTTATTTCAATAACTGATGATTTTATGTAAACATGAAACATGAAACAGTTTGCATATTTTTTTTTAAGTAATGTGATATATTTCTGAGTAAAAAAAGTTGAATTGGACTTGGGAATTGACTGGGTGGTAAAAAGTGTCTTGCACATGATGAATAAATATTAAGTGGCATCAGTGACATCAGCTGTAAATTAAAGTCATGCCCCAATGCTTTTTTTTTTTTTTTTCTCCAAAGATTACTTAAGTCTTTTCTGGATGCATATTAGCCATCTGGAAGCATATTTTCAAAAAATTAAAATAATATCCCGAGGTTGCAAACTCCATATTTCTTCATAAAAACTTTATACTGCATGCTGATTAGAAAGGTTGAACAGTAACCAAATCACGCTGATGGCATTTTCTCACTGTGCAAGCTGTTAGCTGGCATTTCTGATTTGCAGTTTTGCACTCAAAGCATTTCACGCCAACCCACATAATAAGTACTTCCACGTAATGAGCATATTTTGCCAAAAACCATTCATGGATATGAGTTCTCTGAAACACTCTGTAAGCTTTTCAGACCTACCAACAGTAACCAGGATGGCTTAACAAGGCTTAATTAAGGTTCCTCCTGTGCATGAAAGCACACAGACCCACACTTACAGTGAAGAGACAGGTTGCTCAGGCTGTCTGGTGTGGTGCTGGACACTTGTGTAGGGCTGTGCTCTGCTGTAGTGTTAGAGGAGATGGCCGGTTCTTCTGGGCTGGAGGTGAGGAGTGATGAGAGAGTGGTTTCAGCCATACTGTCGGACTGAGATGTCACTGCTGCAGATGACTCTGGTGCCCGGCCAGGCCCTGTCTCATTGGTGATGTTGATGGGGACAGTAGGTGTGACGGCAGTCTCATTTTGAACTGGTGGTATAATGACGGGTAAGAGGTTAGTTATAGGAAAATAAAATAAGCTGCATCAGTGTCTTTACCAACATTTTTCAAATATCTTCTTTGATGTTTAAAACAAAATTGGTTACAGAACTGGTCAAGACATGGTGTTGTTAAGGCCGTTTAACACTGAGCGCGATGAGAAAAAGCTAGACGAGTCGCCGACAAACGGTGCTTTCACACCGAGCACGAAACGATTGTTCGCCTTCTGCTAATTCACTCCTGCATGCTAGGTGGCGCCGACCAACAATGCATTTTTCCTCAGATATGTATCTCATATATGGATTTAACATCGTCCACTGCTCAATATACAGCATTAAATTAAGATAAACAAAGTTTGGTTCTACACCAGAAACACAAACTATCTATAATGCTTACAAGAAAACATCAGAAAAAATACATAGACGTAGCTACAATTAGCATCAAGCCACATTTGAAAATGTATGTAATTATTAATGTATTTGCTTAAAACCCACTTTAAACCATTGAGTGCTTGTAATAACTTCCGATTGTGATCTATAGTTGATTTTGATTCTAGAATAGGCAGACATGCACTCTTTGCAGGCTGTTTAATAACTCCACACTGCTTATTGTCATAAACATCCTTTATTGTTATAAAATTACCATGAGCTGCATACAAAACACATACAGAAAATATATCGTCATAATCATATGTCTA